AAAATGATTTGCATGTTATGCCACACTAATACAGAGGTTGTCTCATTTATCTGTGTGAAAATTCTACAATTTTTCTAACCTACAACCAGACCTTTTTTAAATGGAAAACTTGCTCAAAATGACGGATCTGGTTCTTAACTTTAACAATGCATCGCTTTTTACCAGATAAAATTACTTCCAGGCACTTTTCTAGGGTGTCTTTCTTTGACAAATTATTTTAAGCGTTCCAAAATGCGTCAAACATCGTAAATTCTTCGGTAAAAAAGTTGTTGTCTCACGATGAAAAATCCTAAAAAAACTAAACGGTCAACGTCGGATGACCAACAAGGGGTTTCTTGATTTTTTAGGACTGCAGGAATAAAATCATCGTCATCCGTTTTTGCGCACTGCTGAAATTTCTCCGCACTAAGCGGAAAAAAGTTTGTTTTCTCCAAATGCGTCGACCTACTGAAGGTCATTTTTGTTATAATATTTCCTAAATCAATTTTAATGGTTCTCTGGATAGTTGATTTATGGTAATCTAACGGTTGGACCGTGCTGCAGTGGAATAAAGGATCTTGGTGGTTGGTTAAGTCAGATAAACCAAATTTTCAGATTTTTAGTGCGTTCAGCAGTGGTTAGTTTTTCGAAGGTGATAATGATGCTAGACTATTGGATTGAATTTGAATAAGTCTACCATGCACATTTCATAAATTAATTGCACAGGTAGTTCATTACAATATAATTTTAGCTATGTTTCATAACGATTCCTGTGGAAAATCGGCTGGAAAAGTATTTCACTAGTACCTCTGCTTCAAGTGAGCACGGTGATGGCATATTTTAAAATAAGTTGACAAAAAAATTCAGCAAACTATTTTTTGAGTTGCTCTACCCGATTTTGGCGACAGGTTTGAATTTTATTTACCCGCCACTGAGCATGGATGTCTCAAACTTTCACACAAATAAATGGGGCACCCTGTATTATACAAGGTTTAACAGAAAGTATTTCTTAGGTGAGGCCAAAGCCGGGGGCCCAGCGAAAAAAAAACAAGTATGTAAATATGGAGTCCAACCGATTGTGCATTATGGCGTGAATCGAAATTAAATGAAAGTTGCGTAGAATCTTGGAAAAAACGTAAATCAATTGTTTCATTCTCAGCTGTCTAGGGATTTCAGTCCCTGGATTTTTGGATTTTTTTTCTCGGGAAAAGGGCTCCCAAAATTCGAGATTTTCTACGGATTTCGCGATTTGAGTTGAGAGTCTCAACTTATAAATACTGCCTCTCCATATATTATTTTTCTTATTATTTATTGCGTATAATTTGAGACATTCATATGTACATATTTATGTGTCTCGAGTGGTACAAGTTTCTTCTATTACTTTAATAAAAGGTTGACCCTTAGAACGGAATAATACAGGTACATACATATGTATGTATAGTCGCACTATCTATAGCTGGGCATGCCCATACACTTCCACCTTTTAACGTATAAGCATATCTGTATCCATGCCAAGAAAACCATTCAAAATATCATCTGAATAAGGCTTATGAATACATACACATGATATGATAAGAGGTTGGTTGTGTGTATGCATTAGGGAAGGTCGATGCATATATTAAGACATCAAAAAAGGTGTTTTTTTATGCCCCACGCTCAACTTTTGTCTGTTTTACTTATTAAAGTAATGCTTAACCAGTGTAAGATCGACAACCCAGAACCACGCCTCCACCTTTTTGATGACGTAACATATGTACGTTCCTATTGTTACAAATTCCTGTCCCTCATGTGGGTTAAAAGCTGCAACCTTTTACGGCAGGCGTGCATAAATTCTCGCGTATTTATGTACATATTTTCCACCTCCACCTGCTCGCCACACTTACAAGCAAGTTTTAAATTAGTTTTATCACACTGTATTTAAGTGAATCAAATTTAAAATAACCTACCGTTCAAATATCTACGTTTTAATTTTCATTTTTGCACAGCTTTAAATAGTTTTAAACTTTAAAAAGCTTTAAAAAAAACTATTTTTAGATAAATTATTAAATATTCCGATAATTAGTTTGACATGGACGTCAAGCAAGAGAAGAAGTTGGAATGTTACAAATGTTACCAATCTTTCGATTTGAAACAAGACTTTTTCCGGTACCTCGTCACAAAACATTTCGATACGACGGTGAAATGCGAGGTGAGATTTTAAACTTGTAAAAATTCGGGTTAAATTTATGTAAGCATATAAATATTCGAGTGACAATAGGCAAAACCGGTAGATCGTGACATAAAAAAGTTGATTTTGAAAAGTATATTTTAAAAAGGGGGGGGGGTAAATTTGTAAAAACCGCAAAAGGCGCCCACATCTCACTAGCGCCGGGAATTTGAATTTTTGTCCCTGCAACGTGTTGGCGATTTTTCTAAATCGAAATAACTTTATATATTTAACTACATTTTTCGACGAACCATATTAGAAAAAACATTAGTCCACTTTCAGCTTTAAAAACGTGCTCTGAGAACTGCGCAAATCTATGAAAAATCGCTTTTATGCCTGTCGAACTTTCTAATTAAATAGTTTTATTGGTGAGTTTCATCTACAGGTGAGCTGACTGTATAACCAATAAAATATATTTCAGGTTTGCGGAAAAATTTCAAAAAATTCCACCGCCTTAGCGCACCACGTGAGAACACTTCACACCAACCGGGACCGTCCCAGTTGCGAACTTTGTCACCGCACTTTTTCCAGACCTACCTCGTTACGCGGACATGTTGCAAACGTCCACGGGCCGAAGGAACTTTTATGTCATGTGAATTCTCCGGCTGTGAGAAAATCTGCAAAAACATGCGCTACCTAGCGAGACACGTGAGGTCCGAACATGCCGAGAATCCGGTCCGATTTCGGTGCACGCTTTGCAATAAAGAGTTTAAAGCGAGGCAAGATCTTGAGAGTCACATTCCCCTTCATACAACGGAGAAGGCGTTTAAGTGTGCCACGTGTGGGAGGAGATTTGCTCACCAGGGCTCGCTGAGGAAACACGAGGTATGTATATATTTCCGTTAATTCTTTTTTTATATATAGGAAACGACGAAAAGTAGTATGTATGTACACTCTTAAAAACCCGGTGTTAATCGTCACCAAACGGTTCATATGTGACTTAACTGTTCGGAAATAACTTGTCTCACCTAATGGTGGACAAATTAACACAAGCCAGTGAAAATTTGTCCCCATGAGGGCAATATTTACCACCAAGCGGTGAAAAACATTATCACCATTTTGTGATATGCACACCGTTCGGTAAAGATCAGCACCAGGATTTTAAGAGTGTAGTGTTTCCAATTTTGCGCATTTTAGGTGGCGCTTACATTCTCACTAGTTCAAGAAATTACACCTAGAGAAACCAATTTTTTGCCCCAATTTTTCAGAATTATTTTTATGGCAAAAATCCATAATGAAAACTTTTTTACACAGGCCACGCATCTGGAAAAATCTACACGACCCATTTTCCAGTGTCGCCTTTGTCCTGTGACCGTGATAAGTACAGCCGTGTTGGAAAGGCACGTCCGAGTTGTGCACGAAAACCAGAGGAATTTCCCGTGCACATTTTGTAACCGGAGATTCGGGTCGAGTTACGATTTAAGGCGTCACGTGACTGCGAGACACCCACCAAATCAGGAAGAGATTCATGCCTGCGACAAGTGCGAGTATCAGAGTCACTTGAAATGTAGGTTAGATCGACATTTGCGAGTGCACAATGACGACGAGAAGCTGGGATGTTACTTTTGTGGGAAGACGTTCGTGCATTTTTACAGATTGGTGATACACTGTCGGGGACTTCATCTTTTGGAGAAGTAGTAAATATTTATTTAATTTGACACCCCTCATACCCGGGGGTTATTAGAATCACAAGAAAAATATACTTATACAACTGTTGTATTACAACGTGTAACTTTACACATTCAGTTTTAAGACATGCTTATACATAATGTGCTTACATAGATGTAATAAATATTTAAGAAGTATAAAGCGGAGGTATGGTTTATATAACTTTATTAATTTTTTTGAATTTTTCTCATCACTTGATTTGCTTTCTATCCATCGTGAATAAGCATCAGACGGTATTTGCGAAACATTTACGTCATTATTTACTCGCATGTTTCACTCAAACGAAAGTAAACGAGTTACTTGATGAATGAGCAAATGAACAATTGATAATTAATAAAGCAACAATTAACAATTTCAATTGCATCGGCTTTGCTCACATGCACGTACTTAATTGTATACGTATTACGTAATTAGCTAGTTACGTATTTAAGTAACATTTTTGTACGTTATGAAAATACGCATTGTTACATATTTTTTGGTTTCGTGGGAATGGAGTTTGCATAATATACTTCATTGTTGCAAATTTTTATTATTTAACATCCTGCCTCGTCTGGTACGATGTCTCGTTAGTCATGAATGGACTAGGATTCAAAAATGTTTAACTTCTCAAACATACTCTTCATAATCTTCGTAAGTTTCCCATTTTTCAGAAATTAAAATAGTTCGTGAATATGCTGCAAAAAATTAAGCATTTAATCGTCTTATCTGTCCATAAATATTTCAGATATTACTTACTTCGTCGCCTGCCCAAGTGGAGGATGACGACACTATTTCCACCACGATGGAAACAAATAACCTGGGCGTTACTTCTCCCCTTGAAACTTCATCGCCAGATCCAAACTCATTTTCAGAATCGTGGGACGGAGGTTGGTTTCCATCCGTAACAGAAAAAGATTTTATTGATGCCCCACCAATGAGCGGGACAAACGATGAACAATCTGCCATAGATTCTTTACTTGGCTCAATTTCGTCAAATAAACCGCCACCGGTCAAAGAACAAGATCGAATCCTAGCATTATTGAAGTTATCTATATCCGCTGTCGCCAAACCGAGTTGGGCGGCGACATTGAAAAATAAAATTCTTACACTGCCCCCAATCAAGCCATCGTTAGCAAATCCAATAAATTCTACCGACTGGCTAAAATTCCAGGTCAGATTGGAAATCTTTATGCGAAATTATCTCCTCGACGAAGGTGAAACATTGGGGCATCCTGCATCGTCTGACTACCCCGGCGATGTTCCGGCAAGCTCACCTCTGACTAAATCGTACAATTATACAGTTGACCTTGAGAAGAATTCAGTGTACGAAACGTTGTTAAAAGGCAACTGCACAGCTTAACAAAACTGGGAAAATTTCCTGTCCAAAATTTTGTTCAACTTTGCTCTATGCCGTGCCAGGATCTTCCTTAAGATTGAACCTCTTAACGGAAAACGTGACAGAATTTGTGGTACGGATAAGGCACTGGACGGACGACACGTCTAATCTAGATGTTTGGACACAATATCCAAATATGAAATCGGTTAAGAAATTTACAGTAAAATCAAGCGACCAGACTTTCACAATGCCCTCGGTCTTTGGCGGGATGGTTTACATAGGGCAAATAAATAGTTCAGTTCTTCTCGACAACGTTGCCTTTTCAATATCTGGAGTAGTGGAAAGCCCCAGCTTTAAATTTAAAGATATGACTTTAGTTGATTGGCGGGAGGAACGTCAGCTGATGGAGGCGCCATGGGGCGATTTAGTCAGCGACCAGATGATCATGTCTTACCCGAAACGTGTTCTCGACAAGATTCAAGATCCTGAGGAGTTTCTAATCCATTGGGAGCGTATACTGGATGGGATGACTGAACTGGCCGGAGCTCAATACAAAAGCACCCGTGAGCATATCGGCTTCACGAGAGATCTTCCAAACAAAGGTGCAAAAACACATTCAGGAAATCCACTCATGGTCCAAGAGAAGATTGGCGAAGAACTTGTAGAGTTTAGGAAAATTTGGCAAAGTAGCTCCAACATGCTCGCCATCCTACACTCACTTGCACACAATCATGAAGATTCCCTAGCGCTACTGAAGTTTAAGGGCGGTGAATCATTTGTTGGTAACTTATTTGTTGATTATGTCAAAAATATTGTACATTTCGTTCGCCCACAACAAATTAGGGATGAGTACAAATCGGAGAATATTATTAAAGTGATGGAAGACTATATTCAGGATGGGGTAAAGTTTGATCGCTTTTTCACCTCTGGCGCTGTGAAGCTGTTTTACTTTGACTTCGTCAGGAATTTTGGACACGACACGGTCATGAAATTGGGTCGTAACGGTAGCACAACAATCGACTACCAAGAAAGAAGAGATGCCCTGGCTGTTAAGCTTTCAGAAATAGAGGGACAAGACATCAGCGGGTATTTAACTTCGTGGGGTATCGTGATATCCACCAGTGCCGAACAGAAACTCGTAGGCTTTAAAAAGACAAAGCTTAATGCGAAGCAGCTGATCCAGTTTGCGAAGGATAAAATCCATGTGGAAGCTGCCAAGAAGGCCATTAGCAAAAGAAGAGGTTTCCAAAAAGGTGGCTTTAAAAGGCCGCAAGCAACCACACCAGCACCATACGACGAGCCGGACATGTCAGATGAAGACGAGGATGAAGTTACTACGACCGAGTTGAGTACAACGGTAGGATATACAACGACTGAAGCAACCCCTGAAGATGCTGTTCAACAGGGGAGAGGGTTCGAAATTATGGATCCAGTAAGTCCACATACTAGATTGTACATATAAAAAGCAAAACGTTAAATGCGTGCATGTCAAATTTTGTATTTTAGGAGGAAGTGGCAAAAAGAAAAGCCCTTTGGAAACCAAACAAGAAGCTGAAAAGTAATGGTAGTACTAATTAAGACCAGAAAAGTATGGATTTTATGTTTGACTACGGTTTTCATTACATGAATACAGACATAGATCAATTATTGGACGGTCTGGACTCCATCAAGGGCGCTCGTAAAGTCGGGAAACTCTTTGTCTTTGGATCTGAAGCTTTCCCATTTCTAGCAGCAAAGGCGAAATCTGGATTTTCTACTGCGGCTGCCGCATCCCTCTATGGAAAGGGACGAATTATATTCCTATCTCACGAAAGTTTTATCACGCCAACGGATAACTATTTTGATAAATTTCATGTGAACTGTGTAATGTGGGCGGTTGATTACGATGAAAAATCCAAGCTAGCCCCTGTCGTTATTAAGAGTAAGCCGGGTAAAAAGATCGCGAGCTGTCTGACCGACAGCGGGTACCCGACGCAGGAGTTACCCGAGGAAGAGATTAATCCAAGCCTTTTTAACTTGGTAATAATCCCCACAGCACTTGACATTTCTGAGGGCTTCGCAACAAAGCTAGACGGTTATGTCAAGAATGGCGGTGGACTCATCGTTGCCGCAAACGCTGGGCTACTAAACTTAACATACGCAAAAACCATGCCCTTGAATAAGCTAAGCAGACATGCGGGTGTATTGTATCTAAATGAACAAGCACAGCCTTCCCTGGACGACGATAAGTATAATACTTCAACAAATCTAGTGACCTATGGTCATTTGAGCGCCGCGGCCAGTGTTGTAAATGAAGTATTGGATAAAATCGACGCGACACCAGATGCCCTAACAGACGCGGACGAGAACAAATTTATTTACGCCATAAGTATTGTTAAGATAGCGGCAAACAATTTGGATACAGCCGACATGAAGTTGGTGGATGCTATAAAGATAAAGTGGTCCGGCCTGAAACCAGTCAATCCAGCGAATTTTACGGAAATTAATACCACTGACGCAATGAGAATACAAGTTCGTATTGACCAGGAGATTCTAGGCAGACTATTTAATGTTGAGGACAACTATGCTCATCCCGCCAGTGAACATTTTCCCGGTGCTGTTAAAATTGACGGAATAAAATCGAAAGAAACTGTTTTTACTATCGATCTGGATAATGGTGGCGCCCTCTTTAAAACCTTATATGAGTATGGTTGCACTGAAACCGCGGAATATCAAAAGAAAATTAATGGTACGAAGACTTCATTCTCGGACTTCATGGAAACTGAGTTTTATTCACCGCCCGGAGTCAAAGTTAGCATTAAATTTTTATCGGATGAAATCAAAGCGTTTTCCATATATAACGGTAGATTTGAATTAGTGAGCCAGCGAGAAATTTGGAACAAGTATCCCACCATAAATTTTACAAAAGATTTCTCTGGAAATTTTGGGGAATTCAGTGATCCTTTCGGTGGCCCAATTCAGATCGGCAAAATTGTAACACCCATTACGTTAAGGAGGGTATCCATTAAGATTTCGGGGGCAATTGAGACACCCCATTTCTTTCTGGAAAAAACCAAACTAACTGATTGGGACAGAATAAAAGGGCTTGATGGACCATGGGGATATTTTACGGCGCCAAGCTTACAGTTAAAAATGCCGCGGCAGGGTTTTACTCTGATTGAGAACCCTGAAGAATTGATGCTATCTTGGCAGAGAGCGATCGATGCCTTTAATGAGTTTCATTCGGTGCCGTATAGAAGCCACAAGTTGAAAGTCAACTTTGATTACATTCTGAGAACTAAGAACGCTGCAATGATTTCCGGACACGTTTCTGGATTTATTCGTCATGCCATCGTTGCGGCAAACCTAGCATCTGTCCAGGATACCAACGAAATTTTCGGTTTTCTTCACGAATTCGGGCACAATTTTGACATGGATTGGTGGAGGTTCCATGGCGGGGAAGAATCCACGAATAATATCAATATCCAATACGTTCGAACAACGTTGCAAGGGTTTCCCAAAGATAGCAGCCGGGCACCAGGACCGTTGGTGAAATTTGTTGGTAACCACAGCATTGTGGAGCAGGGTAGTCGCGACGTGAGAGCCTGGTTCTACTATGATTTGTTTAGGACGTTTGGATGGAACGTTTACTTTAAGATGGCCATTCTGCAAAAGGGGGTGACGTTTGAAGGGGATCGGTTGACGTCAATTACACGGAACGACTGGTTCCTGATACAATTTTCGAAGTTAGTTAAACGAAATATGGCGTCTTATTTAGACTCGTGGGGATTATTCACCACCATAGAAGCCAAAAGGCAGGTGGAGGCGTATAAGATGTCCGTCTACCGAGCGGAATAATTGTTTGATATGGCCGTGAAACAAGTGTATGCACAAGATGTTATCAAAAATATTTCTAAGGGGGCAATACATAGTTTGAAGATGGTGGAGAAGGGAGCCAACTTATGCTTAAAGAATCTGACCTCGGATATTAACAAAGCAAACAAACAAGCCACCTCCGACCTGAAGGCTACTATCAAAACGGCAATATCCAATATAAAAGACATCAGCAAAACCGTTTCATCCAGTACTAAGACCATCATTAAGGATGCTGGAGTCGAGGCTATGGCCGTAATCAGGGACGCGTTTAGAACACCTAAGGCAGAAATCCTTACCGCCGTTGATTCTGCAAAAGATACGGTCAGAAAAAGCATCGCTACTATTGACGCCGCTGTGAAGAAGACAATCGCCACGAAGAAGGAGGCCGATAAATTGGCTAAAGCTAAGAAGAAAGCCGTTCCCAAAACATCAGGCACTCAAGAAGTTGATGAGGTTGTGAAAGCAGCCGACAAAGTGGCGATGGATTCAAAGCTGAACGCAGTCAAGGAATTAAACGCTATTTTGCAAAATGTCACTCTGACTTCCGACTCCGAAATGAAAAGATCTATCGCCGAAATCAATCAGTTTCTTGCCGTATCTGCAAAATCTGCCGGTGACGCTATGACGAAAATTACCCAAACTGCTACCTCAGCTACGAGAAAGGCTTCCGAGTCAATTTGGTTGGATTTTTTTATAGAACTCGTTGGACAACCCGGTGTAGCTTGAAAAAAAGTTCCTTCGTAAGTGAATCGTATCTTGATTCCTGAGGACACCTTCTCTGAACTGAATTCATGATCAATAAAATTCTACCAGTTCTGTAACAAGGGGCTCATTTTTTCCATGATTTCCGGCACCTGCGGGTATTTCAAAACTGGTATCGAATAAGCCATTTAGTTAAGGCGGATAGTATCACGTACCGTAAACTGAATGGGGAGACCACCTTCTGGAGACACTGGTGGTCTTATCTCTCTTATCTCTACAATTCCCGATATCTGAATTTGAAACTGGGGTTAAAACTTGAACAAACGTACGTACAATGCTTGCAAGCTGTATTATCTACTCACGGAGTAACGCCCAGAGAATTTCACGCTTTTAAATCCTTCACTATGTAAGATGATGTCTGGAATCTGCGGATAAAGGTCGTCTCGTGTAAGCCTAATGTGATGAAAGCGGACGCGCTTAAGCCCTAAATAAATTAGAATTATGAAGAATTTTTCCAGCCGTTGTTTTGCTGTAAGCATTGTTTCCCATCAAAATAAAATTACGAGTTCATAAAAACGAGTCCTAAGACTCGTTTAAAACTAGTTCCACTGTCGATTGACAGTTGAACTAGTTTTTTTCTAAAATGCATGATTCTTTAGATTTCTAATTTCCAAACTCACCTTTCCAAAGAGACATGTTCTTCAACACGGCAACAACCAAGGCGGACTCGCCCACAGATTCCACGTCAATGTTTACCTGCTCCAGGTCCAATGTTTGGAATGGATCCATCATCAGATTTACCTCGTGAATTGAAATCTTGCTAACGAAAATCATCTTTAACACGAGTTTCCTAACGGTTGGAAATAATTGATCGATACTATCTTCAAGTTCGTCCTGCCGCCAATCCCAACAAATATCCAGCGCAAGAGATTCAACTCCTCGGTGTCGCTGCCACGTAGCTAGATGCTTTGGCAATCTGGTCGAGCTATACAAGTTTCGGAAGGCTAGGCTTTTCAGTACTGGGAGATGAGTTTAGTTAAAAAAGGAATGGATTGGGCGCTCTTCAAATGAGTGAAGGGTGAGTGACGTAAGTTTCGACATGACAGGAGCGTTCATATTCTGGGTCTGCGATAAACGCAAAGACAAAAATTAGAATAAGTTAACAACGTTCATATTCTGACATTGCGGTAAATGGGAAGGGTGTATCAAAAATGGGGTAAATTCACAATTAGAAAATGTACTATTTACAGAAACTAACAGCTATATGAGTTCCGGAAGTTTGAAGCAACTTCCGGACGGCGGAACTGGAGAAGTTGCAAGATTTAAGCCAACTGGTCGGAATGCGAGCGAAGCACAAATTGTGCTCCAAAGCTGAAGCACTAGAAGCAGGGAGCGTTAGTTCACGTCGGAAGCAGACACCGAAGGCGGAAGCGGTTGCACGCTGCGCATCAATCCATATGTAAATACTATAGCAACAAAATCTGTTCACATTCTCATATTTAATACAGGATGAAGATAAATAGATAAACTATTCAGTCATTATTAGGCAAATTCATGAATAAGCATAGAATAATTTTTTCAAAATTTTAAGATGAATGATTATCTTACATATACATAACTACATTTTTTACTTAATTTTCAGAACGAACGAATGTATAATTCAATGTTTACCTGCAGCCCATGACGCAAATGATTTTTGTAGCTAAATTCCACCTCTGTCAATGAATCCTTAGCTTTGTCCAACATTGCGGTCACGTTATTAATTGTGACGGAGTGGTCAGCATGTATGAAGTAGAATTTAAGCGATTTGAGCTTTCTGCATCTCTCCAAATCCGGAAACGAGGACGCCCATATGTCCAGAAGGGTTAAATTTGGCGCCGAATCAATCAAGGCTTGCAACACTGGATGCAACCTGGTGTAGCCGGACCTCGGATGAGCCCTGTACGTAATTGTGGTCAAATTATGGTGAACCGCGAGTTTTGGAGGTATTCTTTGGTCCGCACGATTTGTACTTTCCCACACTAAGAGGAACACATGTCGGATATTATTGGATTTCAGCATGCTTAACCCTTTCGTGATAACGTCAATGCCCTCGTATTTCTTGGCGATCGATTTGAACTCATCGTACATTTTGAGGCTTCGAATCAGTTTCTGATTTACTAGAGGAAACGCTAGGTATAAGTTTGATTCATCGTCGTAATCGAAAAGCTGGTTAACGTTAAGATATGTTCGCGTTCCGAATAAAGTTGTGCCATAATCCTCCCACGTTTGGCAGACCAATCGGCACGATTTCAAGTCAGGTATGCTGAGCTGTTCAAAGATTTTGTCAAGAATCTGGTAGAAATTGAGAATTATTAGATCAAAACAATATGCAATTTCCAAATGAACACAGAATTGATGACGACTAACCAGTGGATTCATTAAGGCGTTAGACATTGCTTTGTTAACGACGTTGTCATTGCAGGCTGGAATTAAGGACAAGAACCATGTTGATGGATAATATTATTATGGACTTATATATGGCAAATTATTTAGCAAGTGTAGCAAATTTTTTATAGCCCTTTACGATAAACTGAAGAAATCCATCCCTCTTGTGTAGAAGATGACACCAAGTCCATACCGCTTGCACTTAAACTGCAGACAAATTATAACTTGAATAGAAGATAAATTATCGATAATCGTCAAAGTATAAGAAATCACAATTTGAGAGATACTGCGTACGTGCTTATGTTTGTAGCTGCCAATAAAATGAGTAATACACAGAAAGTGTAGGAGGATTCATGAGCTCTGCATTACTGATAACGAAGCTCTACCGAGTCGCACCGGCCGATTTCACAGATTCTGTACATAAACGACTGGTTTGCCAATGTTAAAGTAGAGTGTACATGATTCAGGATTCATTTGAACTTTCTGGTGAGGTTCTTTATGGCCATGACAGCTTATCTATTCCTGATAATGAGCCAGGCACGGACAGTTTGTTATTTACTTTCATATCGGTTCAGTTTAAGCATTTAAGCATTATATAAACCATGTAATGTAATATATTAGAAATCAATCATATTAGAAATCATCATTAGAAATATATAGGTATAAATTTCTAATGATGTGATGGTTTGATATTTCTGTCCTCTTTTTGTTTAAAATATCATCATTTGAAAGTTTGGATGTTTAAACTGGGTTTTTGTCATGCAAAAGAAGCGAGCGACTCAGCTTTCAGGAACGAAGGGCCCTTCACGTTTACGGGCATCAAGATAGAGTTGCGGCATCATACCTAAATCTGACCCCAAGGGGATACTCCGGTCGATTTAACATATGGATTTAATTTATCAATTTTTATGTGAAGACATGCTTAAATAATTTTGAAGTTACAATGTTTAGAACTATATATATAGCTTCTTTCGTTATAGTTATTAAGTAAGGCGTGAAAGCTCATTACAAGATTGCTATGCCCGTGTGTCCGTGTAAATTAATGTAAATAAACGTACAAGCTTTAAAAAACAGTGAGCGTGATGCCTAGTTCTCAGGACGGATTTTTCGTATGAACCGACAGTTTCTAAGGTTTGAATAAAAGTACTCTCTCTCTCCCTATCTCGGGAATTACTCGACTTTAACTACCAACTGCACCAGATGAGCGCGTTTCAAATAATTTCCGAAATATCACTTACATAAGTTTCTCGTTCTTGTTAAACATTTTCGCGCAAAAAATCCGCCCTGTTTACTATGTAGGCATAAAATAAGTAACCGCCTTTTCACCAAAATGCTACCATCAATTATTTCTTTTTTGCTAAGATTTTGAATAATTAAAGCCATTTCATTAAGTTCATCCATCTGTTGTATGATCAAATGTTTAATGTTACGTAATAAATAATTTCACCGTTTGTTGATCTCGTCATTAGACATCTTCTTCGAGCTGAGTTCGTGACTTATCGACTTTTACGAAGTACTTTAACGTGAAAAGAAGGGTTGCATTTTTTCCGTGATTTCCGCCACCTGATATTTTGGCAAAATTGGATGTATGTATAATAAGTCATTTAAGGTAATTCGCTTCATATACCGTCAACTGAACTGGGACATCACTTTCTTTAGAAACGGATGGTTTTAGTTCCACAATGTGTGCTGCCTGAATTAGAAATCTGAATGAAAATCTCAGGTATACATACATAACTATTGCAAGCTTTATTACTCACGTAGCCAGGCCCGGTGAATTTCACGCTTGCTAGTCCCGCACTGTACGAAGTAATGTCTTCAAAGGGAAAAGGAAGGTCATTTTGTGTGAAACTGATGCGCTTGAAGTGGACGCGTTTAATTCCTAAATGCACACATTAAGCAAACTTTTTTAAACCAGGTTTTTTGCACCAGTTTCCGGCCAGACTCACCCTTCCACAGCGACATATTCTTCAGGATGGTCACTATCCAGGCGGATTCGTCGACACATTCCACCACAAAGTTTGCCTTCTCCAGGCTCCACTTTTGGAATTGTTCCATCATCTGACTTATCTCGAGGGTTAAAGTTTCACAAGCGAAAATTATATTTAACTCGAGTTTCTTAACGCCGGGAAATAATTGGACAATAGTTTCCGCAAAGTCGTCCTGCCGCAACATCCCAGCATATGCCAGCGCGAGAGATTTCACTCCTCGGTGTGGCTGCCACATGTTTACATGGGTGGAAACTCTCGTCCATTGTGAAAGGTCTTGTAGCGATAGGTTAACAAGGGCCGGGAGGTTCTTCTCATTCAAGAAGCCAGGGATAAGGCAGTCATCTAACGAGCGCATGGTGAGTGACGTAAGGTTAAACATGACTGGAATGTTCATATTTTGACCCTGAAATAAATGCGAAGTGCGCATAAACAAATTTGAGTCAGGATAACAAAACCTGTTTATTATACATAGAGGAGCGCAGTTTCCGTCTTCCTGGAAGTCGGATCTGGCACACAGACAGCGGAGGCCAACGCGCTGGAGTCGGGAGCACTAATTTCGTTCGAATCCGCTGTACTTCGGAAGCACAAGTTGAGCGCGGAAGCGGATGTGTTAATAGCTGGAAGCAAAAATTGTATTCGGAAGTCGTGCCACTTGCGGCGAAAATTGAGGTCGGAAACCGAGGCGATAGAAGCACAAATTTTTCTCAGTGGCTGGAAGCGAAAACTCACTTCAGCGGCAGACCCCGGAAGCGGATGTAAACTGCGCCAACTATGCGTATTTATCATGTCTGTTCGCATTGGCTTATTCAACACAAAATGAATCTGGTATTCAGTTACTATTCAAACAAATGAATATGGTACAAACACTTTTTTCTTTCATTTCCATAAAGAATGGAATACACATAATTCAATTTTTACCTGCAGACTACCGGGCGTAGTATTTTTGCAGTCTAAGTCCGCCTCGATTAAGGAATCTTTAAGTTGTCCCAACATTTAAGTTGTCACGTTATCAATAGCGTTGGTTTGGCCAGAATTTGTGAAGTAGAACCTAAGCGATTCGAGCTTATGGCACCTCTTCAAATCCGGAAAATTGGAGCCGCAGACATCCAAAGAGGTCAAATTCGGTGCAGAATTAATAAAGCTTTGGAGCAACGCAATGTTTTTGAACCCGTCGTAAGGCCAGTATTTAATTGTGGTTAAATTAGGATGCACCACGAGTGTTTGAGGCACACATTCGTCCACACAATTTTCTCGTTCCGCCATTGAGAGGAAGACTTGTTGGATATTTAAGGAATTCAGCATGCTTAAACCTTTCGTAATAACGTCGATATCCTTGTATCTTTTAGTGACCGAGTCGACCTGACCGTAGATTCTAAGGCATCGTACCAGTTTCTCGTTAACGAGAGGAGTCGCTAGGTATAGGTTTGAATCGTCGTCGTAATCAAAAAGCTTGTTGACGTTCAGAAATGTCTGCTTTCCTAATAATGTGGCACCGTGATTGGCCCACTCATGGCTGACGAGACGGCAGGATTTCAAGTCATATATATCGAGCTTGGAAAAGACAGCATCGAGAATCTGGTAGAAATTGAGGATAATTATGTAGATAAAAACAGTAAATTATGCACAAATGTGAGGCAAAATAATTGACGACTGACCAACGGATTCATCAAGGCTTTCGACATCGAGCTGGTTGTCGCTACCTGGTGATCGCGGGCTGGAAGTTTTGTCGTCATTTACAAATCCGAAGAAATCCTTCGTTTCGTGATGAGGGCGTCGTAAAATCCATACAGCTTATAGTTGAACTTCGGACTAGTTAAACAACAAGAAAAAAAACATTGACTTCTATTTTCGGCTAAACTAATCAACATCGTTGAGAGATTCCTATCGTAATCTTTTGTAGTAGTTTTCAATTCCGCAGCAATCTTGTACTTGGGTTTTAGGCATGAATAATTATTGCCACTAAATTCATCTTACCTTCAACTTCCACTTTTTCTCAAGCCCTAATTTATGAATTTAACTTGTATAACTGGAAAATGTATCAAACTTTAAACTAAATCGCGTATGTTTCACTTTAACGAAACTTTTATCCTGCTAAATGATTAGTGTTAGGAAGGGTAATTTACAGTCCCACATGGATTTAAAAACCTAACTTTGGCGAATACAGCGCTGCGTACATATGTGCTTTGTTTGTACATATTTGCTGACAAAATAAATTCTCGGGAAGAGAAGGCTGACTCATAAGCTTTAGGATTATGCATGCACTGATAACGATAAAACTCAACAGAGCTGATTCAGCCTGTTTCACAGGTTGTATAAAAGTCTGCCTTGTCAGTGTTAAGAGTGACTCGACTCGATTATTTGAACGCTCATTATGCAAATAATGGTGGCTGTTCGATGTATGTAAGCTGTGACTATTGTCTCAGCGTATCTCTCGCTCACTGATAATGCGTGAGGCAAAGGCCATTTTATCATTTGCATTCGCATCTGCTCCGTTTACAGATTTTTATTATACACCTTATACAATACACATATGTATGTATCTGCACTGCTAAAAATCGGGTGAAATGATATACAACTTCGTGCTGATATACACATACATACATATGTACTTGCGAATAACTTCCTCCCATTTATTTATTATAGTTTGTTTCTGAGTGGTAAATTTTCATTACTACAAGAATATACTTCACTTTACGTAATAATCAAAAACAATTCCAGAGTAAACTTTACTCCTCATCAAGCTAAAGTTACTCTGGATTTATTTCGAATCGTGTACCAATCTACAATTCAGTATGCATTCACTTCGCAGAAGGGTTACGTCATTCTTAAAACTGTAACATTATGCGTTAAGATTTATGTTAAATTTATGCTAAAATTGGAAAATGATTGGAATTTTTGTTTCTTAAAAATATCCATATGTTTGTGTATAAAGTCTAACAGTACTGATAATTATGGAGGTTAGTACTTAATAATAATTATTGTTAAATATACTTACTACATAATGGTAGTAGATTGTAATGAGTGTTTTTGCCTTCAAATAATAGATTTTCTGCTTACTTCATACATACTTTAACTAGGATTTCTGGAATTTTAACTATTCAACGGATTCATGATTCCCTTCAAGGATTAGGATTCCTTAAGCCTGGATAAAAATAGCACATTGAATTTAAATGGAGCATATGTACGCATCCATTCGAGTGCACCAATATTAAGGAACCCCATCCTTCCCACCTTGATTATTACACGTTGGGGAGCGCCCACAAATTATGTCTGGCGAGAGAGAGAAGGGGGATGAAAGGATCCAGTGATATCGTGCCTATGTAAATAATTATGTGACAGATGCTAATAAGAGAGAGGTGGGTCTAAAAATTGGGATTTTTGCGTGACACAACTTATGGATATCCACTTGGCACTGGTTTTGTGAAGGTTCTAAACTGCATAAACTCAAACTAGTATCGCCTCATGACGTGATTTATGTACATATGGATAGATATGTATTTCAGAATTAGACCCTTTCTTGTGTTCATTTTTTATGAAGACAATGGTCAAAATTATGTGTAAAATACAAGCCATCAGTATTACTGAAACGAAAGCTAAATATGAACTACCGACTTTTTATGTTTAGTTTTTGTCTATACGAATTTAAAAAATGATTTCAGTCGGACGTTTACTAACCTGCTGAAGGTTGGTCGATTGGCGTATGCTTGAAAGAGTTGATGTGTTCTCGACAAAGGAATATTTTGTGTAGATGACTGAATTATCAGTTGAATAGCGAAGATAGACGAAAGAAGGAAATAAATAAGGTATGCAGTGTGAACTTATTATTATATTAATTATTCTTAATAAATCATTAATTGAGAAACGCGTACAAAATTGGGAGAAATTTTAATCAACTTAACACTACGCTTGAGAATATATAGGTAGGCAACCGGCAACTAATTAATTTGCCAAAACAGTTATATGTAATGGGCGTTTTAGCGACAGCATCTTACTTCGAAGCGCAACTCATTCAGCAAACTGGCGAAGCTTAAAATTTAGCGTATTTAGGGGATTCTATGATTGCGAAAATTTCGTAAATTTTTGCAAACAAGTCGTACATCCTGTATTGATTAACTGATTTGCATAGATAGATGATTTGCAGTTTATAGTTAAATACATAGAGATGATGTGACATGCAGATAATCTCACGAAATGAAGACATGCTCACCAAAGTGTATTATTGGTACAAGTTTTGCAGAATCTCGATTGTCGTAGAATTTCACACAAGTTATGATTAATTTACAGCCATGCCAAGGTGGTCTTAATTACGCGTGATAAGGGCCGTACATAAAACATGTAATCGATTTTCGGGGAATTTGTACCATGATGGGTGCTACAAATGCGCCCCATGTTATGATGTTATAATTATCATAGGGATTATCCCTCAGGGATAGGGTGGTTTGATCTCAAATCCATCACGTCCGATTTGCACTGTCCCTTCATACTTTATGAGATAACTCCTTAAATTAGATCGACTGGGGTAACTCCTTGTTAATTTTAGCAGATCAGATATGTAAATAATAGATCATTATGGTTACATATAATTCAGAGAGAATATGTACATATATCAAATTTATCTATTGATGCTTGTGTAAAGTATTTTGACCTTGATTTTCAGGAAGCAGCTGAAGATGTCGAGCACCATCCCGTTTGATCAACACGTTCCTAAATTTTATCCAGTCGCTAGGGGTACTTTGGAAACAGGGAGGCAGAGTCGACCTGGCCATGGAGCTAAGGGCAGCCCGATCTACAAAAAGTTGATCAAGGTGGTCGTATTAATTAGTGTGGTCATCCTACTCCTCCCTCTTGAACAGCAGTGCAACTGTAATGAGGAATCTATAATTCCGATGTTCCTGAGAGTCACCGAGATGCAGCAACTGGCTGCGGCTTACACAATGGGTTTCCTTATGAGATGGATACTTTAACCTGATTTTTAAATCCATATTTACCAAAATTTTGTTACCGGATATTATCCGGCGGATAATATTTATCACCGCACCGATAATAAATGATTATAACCCGTATTCTTCAGGTTTGCCAATTTCCACATAAAGATATTATTAGTTACAGCCGAATAAACCTGATAAATTAGAATATCCATCGCAAATAAAATATTTATAAGCGTCTTGTACTATAAGCTGTCATTTCCCAGTCGGTAATGAAGTGTTAATAAAAACCTAGTTGATTTCCTTGAAATTCAACCTTTCTTCAAGAAACTGGGTTAATGGCACAATATGTGGTAATTCAAATTAGTTAAATACAATTCTGTAGTTACAAAATTTAAGTTAGTATTACCCTCATGAGTCACCAGAATAAAAAATAATAATCCCGACTATTCCGGACAGTTGGTAAAATGTAATAAAAAACGTAATTTATAATATTATTCATGGTCGGGAATTACTCCGGATTTGGATGAGAAGGAATATTTGCAGGGAGCATGCACCAAATTGTAAGAGTAATTGAATAGAATTTTTACTTATTAGGTGATATACATCAATTGAAAAATTTCAAATTGAATTTTAAAAATTTCAACAATTCATTGTACTTGAGCCGGTTGAAGTAAAAGATAGAGCTCGGCGGTTGACTGTATCATGTAAGCTAATGTTTTCGAGTGCATGCAGTTTAAACCTTTTTTTCAAATAGTCTTACCTTTCCGGGAACTCGTGTGCATATGTATATATAAATTCCATCCTTTGCCTTTTTTACAGGTACAAGGGGCCCTTAATCTTTATGGGTCCTGCATAGGAAACGAATAGTAAATAGTCAACCCAAAGTTTAATTTTGTATGCAGAAGCGGCGGAAATATATGTAGCGACTTGGTGAGTTTGGAGGAGGAAAATTTTACATATTGACATTGGCAAGATAGGATTTCTGGCACGACAATAATATCACCCTGCTTCAGCAGTCAATGTTGGTACGTAGGGTAATCCATAACTTGTCAATGACTCGTTTCATGCATCACCAATTGACTTATGAACCATTTCTGCTAAAAATAAAGCTTAGCGACGGGGCATCTTTTCAAGTCGGTTAACCCCTTTCGAAGAAGGGGACTTGACTGCGAGCATTTTGAAGCGAAGGGTATTTTTTATGGGTAGATTTAGTCATTAACTTTCTGTCTTTGCTGTCTAAATATCCCTTACCGACAGTTAAGCAAATTTTTAACAAACCGTTGGTTAAAATTAAATAAATTCAAAAACTAAATAAATTTATCTTGCACACTTTACAAATTTTTAAGAATGTCAAGAACTGTAGTTTACAATTTTGAGGTAAGTAGCTTTTAAGGATTAAGTTTAGTAATTCGGTATATTAAACTAATTATGTAGTCAAAATAACTCTAACGACGAAAAGATGACATGGGACACTTATTTAAATTTTTTAAATAAATGTTTTATTACTTCAAACCAGAGAAGGAAAAACGTTGTCATCGCTGTCCATTGTGGAAATAAACTTGGAAACAAGGTAAGCTTTTGAATTATTCGTATGAAAAATATTTAAAAGTGCGAAATACCCAAACACAAAGATGAGCAAAATTTGGGATGATACAACTGGTGGTGTAAAATTTACCCGAAGGATCTAAAATTTACTAAAAGTTGAGCGAAAATTCGATAAATTTAAACTATTTATCACCGTGCCAGTTTTACACAACCAATTGTTTCATCGTGAATTGTATTAAATTTTTTGCAGAGTGCACTTTTCTCGTAAATGAATATTTAAATTTTAAATACTAACTTATTTAACGAGGAACTTGGAATTAGGCTAAATTGAGACTTAAATCTGGCGACAATTAATACATATACAGGGTGGTTAAAATGGCACGCTACAATTGAAAATTTTCCAAATGAGAAAAGTCCCTAAATCTCCATTAGTTACAAGATTTTTATATGAGATTTTTATAGATAATATTATCAAAACTGATGACAAAATTCTTAAAATGTTGCATTTTAGAGACCAAATTTCGGTAGCTAATATAAATTTATGGATTTTTCCCATCGAAAAATTTTCCATTGTAGCCACCCTGACATTTTAACCACCCTGTATGTATAAATTGAATAGGGATGAAGTTTTTCCGAAAAAAATGATTTGTTTGGGAAATGAAATATATTTAATTCGAAAATGTCAAATGCATAATATTTGATACAATTTTGTTGAAATTCTAGAAATCCTATGCGCCCCCACCGGCCGTGTTACGTGGCGCGCTGGAGTGCATAATCTGCTTGGACGCTCCCGCGTCACCGATTCATCGGTGTGAAAATGGGCACATTACGTGCGGCATTTGCGCGGAAAATGTAGCACTGTGTGGGATTTGTAGAACACGGTTGCAAGTATCCGTTCTGGCTGAGCGTCTGTCACGACAGGTTTGGAAAATATCTTATCAGTATTTATATACACCGTAAATAATTATCACCATACATGGACCAATTATGTCCATCGTGTAATTGGCTTACCAATTACCGATTACTCTAAATCCGGTGATTGGATTACTTTTCCAATTAAATTACATTGAACTGCCTAAATTACAAATTACGATTACAGTACCTGGATTACATTTCAAATTACAAATTGCTTTATTTGGTGATAATTTATCACCTGAGAAAGTACTGTGGCCTCTATTCTTGGGTATTAAGTGACGTTTTGTCACGAACCGAATGTAAGAAACTGGTGTATTTACAAAGCAAACGTGACGTCGTGAATTAGAAAAATGAACGGGTTTTTATGTTTGATGATGAAATGTTCGGATTTGTGATTAAAATATTTTTTAATACGGACGTCACTTCTATACATAAGTATTTACGACTGCTATCTACATGAGATTTTGACTAATTAGTTTCCAATTGGAGACAAAACGTTTCCTCAAATATTGTCCAAAGATGTAACACTAAAATTACTCCACAGATGACGATTTAAGTATTTCCCTGCAAAGAAGTTCAAGTTTAAATACAGAAAACTATATGCATTTTAAGAGGTAACTATATTTTTTCGTAGCTTGACTTGACATGCAATTGTCCTAATTTTTACACGGGGTGCGTCAGCCCTATTGCCGCGGCTTACGTCAAGGATCACTTGGCGAATTGTTACTACAGGTATGTACTACCCAGCTAACTAACAATGTACGTCTCCCTACGTATGCTCACAAATTTGGACAAAACTGGTATGTATCGATCATAATTTTAATTATTATGAAATGTGCAAATGACAAAATCTCCCAATTCGTAAGTTTGGTAGTTGCATTTAAAAGAGGGGAAAATTCGCCCCAAAGTTTTTCATTTTCCAAATTTGCTCCGAATTTTTTCTGCTTTGGCTGCAAATATCTCCGCCAATCTTAGCACTTGGCGGATTCAGTGTCAGTTGCAAATTATTTCATACTAATTATATTTGTATTATCGATTGACGCTAGTTTGGTCCAACTTTGTGAGCATACGTTGGGAGACCTCCATTGTTAGCATAGTTTACTATTTAATCTTAAAATTAATTGTAACGTGTATTCACGTTTCAAATGGGTAACGTTATTTTAAATTATATGCTATGTAACAACGTGCTCCAATGGTTTTATTTAGTCTTTCCTATTTCAACTGTAAATAAGTAATTGTCTTTAAGGGACATGATGACATGCGCGTTGAGCCGGCAGGAACCACTTCATCGATGTGGGGATAAGATTCCAATCGGTTTCCGAGATTATTCAGAACATTTGCAAACCGCTCATGGAGTCGAGTTCGTCGAAATTTTCGATGGGGAGTGGACAAGTAGAGATTATTTTTGTCCAATGGATGGAGATGAATTTGAAGGTATGTATGTAGCTTGTACATATTTAATTGTGTGTTGATGTAATGTCCGTTCCAAAAAAATGGAGTCCTTACCTCTTTCATAATAGTGATTTTTTTAAACTTCTATTTTTTCACTACTTATATTTTTTTATATGCAAATTTGCAAAATCGCATTAAATTTTGCTATAAATATTTTCCATTGCCGGAAACGTCTAATAGCTCAATTTTACATTTTAATTAATTAATTCTAGCCGCCGAGGCTCCAAGTATTGACAAGGTAATAAAGAAGAACAATCAGACTTTCTTCTTTCATTCGCACAATGACGGTGAGCAGTACAGATTTTGGGTCACGATGCTTGGAAATGACAAGGAGGCGGAGAAATTTACATTTCAGCTGAAAATTAGTGGTGAAATTGATGCAAGCCGAAAAGTAAGTAAAATTTTGAAATTTGTTGAAATTTAATAATTATAAAGGTCAGTACAACCATTAAGGAAATTTGTATAATGGTTGGCATTTTTCAAAATATTTTAGGTAAAATTTGAAAAATTTTGCGATTTTTAGGGATGAATGTAGAGTTTGTTTCCCACGCCGTTTAAAAATTGCCCATTTTTCAATTTTGACATCAAAATTTTTGAGAAATTTAAACCATCACAAATTCCCTTATAAAACATTGCATCAACCTGATCTTCATAATTCCAAAATTTTAACAAAATCGAAGCGTTACATTTCAAACCATCACATTGCAAATGAATTGCATAAAAAATATCATAATTTCATAATTATTCAGGTTGAACAGTACTCAATTCCAGTTTTGGCGTATTACGATTACTCCAAATCAACTGAGGGAGAACTTGCGACCAAGTGCGTGCTAATCCCGCCTTCTCATTTCGCCCTGTTTGGCGCTAAGCGGGATTCCTATCCGAATAATTATTTCTTTTTACGATTTGATTTTACGCTGCAATCTCAGCAAACTCGTCTTCCCGTGTAAATTAATATGTATCTGTGTGTTTTAAACAACAGGGACGCGCGTATTAAATAAATTTTACTAAATTTAGCGAAAAATTCCACATGCGACGTTGAATTTATTCACAATTTCGCTTCATATTTACAAATTTCACATCTTATAAAAGCAAATTCATCCTTTATCAACTCTACAAACGTTTTCATATTTGAAATAATTAACAGCAAAATTGCAGTATAGCGGTCTAGCTCGGATTTGGCTGAAATTTTTTGAATACCCTAAGGTCCCCTGAGAATAAAAATACTTTTTTTTCGCGGCGGTCTCAAAAACTGAAATTTCTAGAAATTTTTGAAATTTTGTATAAAAATTATTTTTTTGAATTAGATTTATGGACCTTCTCTTATATTCTTACATATTCATGATTAAATGAGTCCATAATAATTTACATTTACGGAACATTTATCTATACATCGGTCGCGCCCTCCGGGATTTCTTCGTTGGGAATGCTCCCATCCATTCTGGGTGGAGTAAGCCACACAGATTTGTACATCACGCAACCAACGCCCATGGCGACGCCGGCAACCTCTCCGAAAATCATGTATGTGACCATCATCACTATTAATACAAAAAAGTAAAGGTTTCCCAATTATAAAAATTGTCAAAAATATTATAGAGTCACATCTTCTATACTCCGTACTGGTATTGATTTGGTAATAGCTTCCTACCCGGTTGGTAGTAGTTTATTTCTATCAACGGTATTTCAACTGCTGGTAGGGTCATGCATTTACTCCGGTAAGTAAGCAATGATTTAATTAACCCTTTAACGTGTATGATTAACGACAAGAAAATGCGTTAAATCGGGGACGCTATAAATATGTTGTGGTCATGGCGCGGGAGGAGAAATTCAGGGGTTTTAATAAAACTCGCAAAACTGAAAAACCAAAAATTTAGCATTGCATGGTATAGGGAAATATCCAAATTTTCGATAAGAAAATCTTCAAATTTAGCATTGTGTTGGCATAGGAGAAATCCCTCCAAATTGCAACAAATTTTAGGATTTACATCACATTTACATGACATTTTCTCGGAGAGAAAATGGCGAAAATTAATTTTCTCTAATGTTGTGAGCAAAGTAATTAATTGTCGTACTCCCGAATTAACCCATTTCTTATAAAACGAGAATTGTCGTCGCTACAGTTTAAAGGGTTAATAGTTTTTCAACACTGCAGGTTTTTCTAACGAGCAACTTGTGCGCCGAGTATGAAAATTAAAAAATAAATAAATACAAATTGCATAAAAAAACTTACTTTTAATCGTGAACCAGAAATATTCCATTGCGAATTTTAGGTCTAAATATGTAGAAAATAAAGCCTTGTATTTAGACTTGTGTTTAGTGGTTCTCAGTTTCTGTTAATTACCTGAACTAATATGTACGTTCGTTATTACTTTTTATCGTCTCTTTGCGACGTCTTTCCTGTCGTAGCAAATATGTATGTATTTCCAACAGTTTATGTTAATAGCACTAAATGCTCTGCAGTAAATTCTTATCTGTTGCAGTGTCATGTCCGTGTAAACAGATTACACAGCAAAGAATCTATTACGCACATACACACATCGCGAACAATTTACACATCTATTTCGTAACTCCACCGGAACACAAAATTAGTATTTGCACACCTCAAACCAGCCGCTTATCTTCTCGATTTTCCGTGAAAATGGGACCAAGAAGAAATTGTTTCTTGCTTTTTTGCATGCTTGTAGATTTTCCGGTACGGATGAAAGAAAGGTAAGGAATAAACGCCATCTAGCAGCAAATATTTTGTGACATACATCATTTAACGGAAGATTAATACGGTTTTTAATAATTATGCATGCAAATTCATGTCACTATATCTCAGTATGATAAAATTTAACAAAAAATCACATCATGTATTTAATAGCAGCCAGCACGAGCTGCTCGGTCAGCCACAATGAACAATTATATTTAACTAGCCTATAAGCCCATCTAAAAGACTGGCTGAACGCTGCTAAGATTTTTTAGGACTTCTAAAGAATTTTTTCAAAGTTGTCAAGGAATTTTTTCAAAGTTGTCAAGGAATTTTTTCAACCTTGCTAAGGAAGTTTTTTAGCTTTTCGAATGAATTTTTCTAACGTTGCAAAGGAATTTTTTAACGGTGCTAAGCATTTTTTTTACCTTGCTAAGGAATTTTTTTGACGTTGATGTGGAATGTATGGGCGTTCTAATACGAGCCCGAGAATTTTATTGTATGAATGATCTTCTTGCAACGTAAAAAAAATAATGTAGTCAGATGAAGTTTTCATACATATTTCCCTCACTAAAGTATTTAGTTATCAATGTACCAAAAAGACAGTGTAAAATTTGAAGGACGTCCAGACCAAAATTATTCTGATCTGGAAGAGGGAGGCAGATTTTACCAGGTACTATCCATCATCTCTCTCTCTCTCTCATGTTGATATGATGTAATGAATCTGTGCATATTAATTGACGAGACCTTGACAAGCTGATCGGCGAAGATAGATATAGTGTTGCACGGAATATTAATTGTAACCAGATGCATAAAGGTAGATATATCCATTCATAGTGTATGGAACAAGACAGATGAACCTGGCCTGGTACTTTTTATTATCCGGGGTAAAAAATAGCACGGTATGTATGTCCGTATGAAGATATATAAATGCATATTTATTCTGCCCACTTGCAAATGAGGTTATGCTAAACAGTTTAATTTTTCTAATTGCGACGAAGTTGGGGAACGTCCACATAGTACGTCACCATTTTAGTTTTCGTGCTAAACCTTCATATCCCTTAATGTGTGTACGTACGTACATATTTATATGTTGGATGAATGAGTTCTACAGTTCTGTAAAATCGACGTAATACATGGATGGTCCTTTAATTGTGCAGAAAATATATAGAAATGAATGAAAACGTATAAGACTCTTAATCTCGTTAGTACATATTGTTTGTAAATGCTAGTTATGTAGATATGTACCATAACATCTGCTTTATTGTATTTGTGCACTGACTCCGCATGGCAACTGGGCAAGGCCAACCCAGAAGATTGTATGCAAATCATGCAAATCGTGCTCACAGATTGCATTCTCGTTCTAACAAGCCAGCAATACACAGGAAGTTTTGTTGTTCAGTTAGAACTATACACTTTTAAAGCAAAATGTTGGACGAGGAATCTGTAAAGGAAGGTAAGGTTTGCGAGCCAAAAACATGGGATGGATTGGACTGGGAGTGGGTAAGATTTTAAAAAAAGAATTTGTATTTATTAAAGAATATGAATTAAATAATTTTGAAAAGACCTGATGAAGGAATAAGCATTTCGAAAGCTAGTGTCAAATTTTATAATAAATACGATGCCCTCAGAATCCATTCAAATTAAATAATTTTGCAATGTGAATTAGCAAATATGCATGAATTAGCATCGAATAATTCATTAATTAGTCAATAAAGTCATGGACTTATTTGCTAGAGCAAACACGTCACTTTATTTATTTGGGAGCGTTGCAAAATCTTAAATTTTGCGGATTAAACAAATTTTTTCCTGAATCATAAACATAACTATTTTTTAAGTTGCGTTCCGTGCCCACGTGGTATTTCGTGTATTGGAGTCGCCTCGACTTGTACAGGAGTGCAACATTTATGACTCAGCGCCCTATCAACACTCTGACGGAGGATGACGTTATGAAGGCAAATTGTGTTTGGGATGCCAAAAATTCCAAGCTGTCCGCATTTGGAGTCAAGGATCTGGACTTCTCCCTCGTGTTGGATGATGAAAAGAGAGTAGTTTTTGGAGAGGGTGAAAAAATCTAAAATTATTTTAATTAAAAGTATTTCAAAAATCTGATGTGCGTTTTTTATTCAAATTTTGGCAAAATATTACAGATCGTCAAACCTTAGTGTTCTCGGATAACAAGAGTTACATTTTTGGCGCGACAGATTGGGCCGACGGCCAGCAGTCTTGGGGCTTATGGATGACGGAAAAAGAACTAACGAACGACCTGAAAGAAAAAGCTTTAAGTCACGCCAAACAGCTGGGATTCGACACAAAATTGGCAGTTGAAACGAAATTTACTGATTAGATTTCCTTAAAAAATTGGAGAATACTGGAGGTATAGATTTTGACCCAAATTAGTTATAATTGGTTTGTTTCTGTTATACTTTGTCGAACAATGATATTAATTGCATTTTTCTGTTCAAACGAATAAAAATTAGGAATATTTGCCTGTCTGCAAATTGTCATTCTTGCGAAACTAACACCACATATTCCAAATGCATCACGACATGAGATTTCTCTTTTGCCTTACGCTTTAAATAAGTAATTAATATTTAAAACATAGATTCCTTAATTGCATATGTTTAACTTATTTCTACCTCATGAAAAGCGCAAAAAACATTTTAGAAAAAATTTAAAAATATTAGAGTGCCCCATGCTCTCAAATTTGAAAACCTTAATACAAAGCACGTTATTTCCCTCATTTTTTATCGGATTTACCCCTAAATTATAACAAATATTAATAACCGCATTCCGCATGAGGTACTACGCAAAGTCTGTGCAGTAGTTTTTATAATTTCACCCAACTGTAAACTTCTGCATCGGGTAAATCCATAAAGTTTTAGTGAATTAACTGAATGAACCTAGCAAGAAAATAATAATATCGATCCAACTATAACTGATAATTAGGGTTGATACAACTGTAATTTGTAAGTTGTAGTTTGAAATGTAATTGCAGTACACTCCTTCCTGTTTTCCATATCCAGAAATTTGTTAGCCATTACCTGTTTTTCTAACTAAACGTATAAATACTTAAAATGTTGTGCTAACATGCAGTGGCGGCGGAAGATGATTTTTACCGAGGGGACATCCTTGTCGAAAAAAAAGTCGACAAAACAACTTCTTGATTTCACAATTTACTTATGGCCTTTAATTTTCCAGATTAACGTCATATTTCTTGGCTCAAGCCTTCATCGTCAAGAGTCCAGTGGTGAATATTTTGGACGATTTTAGTTTGATCTGCATCTCTTTCGCAAAATAATGTGGTTTTTATTTCTAAAAACCGTAAACGTTGCTTGTCTGGGAAATGTTTCCAAAATCACGTCTGATTTGAAGCGCTCCGAGTAGGAATAATTATTTCGAGGTCTCGAAAAAAATTTCAACTGGAAACGAATAAATTGACCAGCTTCTCGTCGTCGAATATTATTGTAATATTTTATTCTTCTTTGTATGTAAAGTCTACGGGATGTATTAAGTCATTTTCTCTCTTCCGTTGACCAGATCAGGTTTGAGACCATGAAGTTATTTTGTAGCTTATGATGATGACAAGTACGATTTATTAACATATTTTGTTACAGTTTTCTTGCAATGTTAAGAGTGTCTTAGTAAATGGTAAACACGGAACTTCAACTCTGGGATCGATTATACATAACCAATAGTTTTCTCCTTTGAAACCTATCACAATTTTACGGCATTCATACCAGTTTCTCATCAGGCAATTTGTTGAAAGACAATTAGGAAAATTTCAGTAAATACCCAAGCCATCCGGGTTTAGTCTGCCAAAATGGTTCCGGCTAACCCATAATATTTAACCTTAATTGATTTTAAAACACTATTTTGCATTTTATTTTAGTGGATAAATGTGTGCTAAACATTTTGTTGTCGTGTAGGGCGGAGCTCTGGTTTTTTGAAGACTAATTGGAAACCCTAAGGGGCCCAATAAACTTAGCGTCCTAGGATATGTCCCGGTTGACCTCCACAAATTCGGGGCCTGATCAGCAAAAATTTACATTCTGCTATAAATTTCAAAAATTTCACTAGACGAAAAATTAAGGTCTGCTCATAAATGCACATCAAGTATGCGGAAAACCCAATTGTTCGGATTTTTTCTCGAAAACTGCACGTAGCCCTAGTGCCGATCCTACACAATTTTGTGGCTAGAACAGAGTACAAATACACGAACGTGGTGCGATGTGCTTGTACCGACAAGATAACCGAGAAATACCCGGGTAAATTTGAAAATAAATGCATATTTAACGCATTTGGAAAACCCAATTGTTCGGACTTTTTTTCTCGAAAACTGCACGTGGCCCAAGTGCCGATCCCATACTATTTTGCAGCTAGAACAGTGTACAAACATACGCACGTGGTGCGATGTCCTTCTATTGTGAGGTTTGACGGGTACAATTATCTCGTAGTTCAAGGTAGAACACCTGGGGCTATACTGGAAGACGCTACGTTCAATGGAAGCCGGGGTCACCTTATTTTTGCACAATACCGTTATTTCTCATTCCTAAATATTCAAGTGACTGATTATTGCTTTACCCTTATTAGCCAACTTTGATCTTTTCACACATATGTACCTTTAATGAGGATTGATTTTAAAGTTTTGAAGTTTGAAGTTTTAAATTTCCAAGAAATAGAGGTTTAAGGGCGTGGATTGTCATTGAATTACACTTGATTGATCCAAATTTTGTTTAATTCAATTAAGAATAGCTCTGAGGAGGGGAGCTTGCGAGGTTGATAATAACAGATCTCGATGCCCTTTGGATATGTGATAGGGTCTCATGAGTGTACTAAAACCCTGAAGTGGTTTGACTCCATGGCCACATTTGCGCCCGCCACACCCACTCAAAAATGCCCAAAAAACGCTTTCACTCCAGTTTTCACTCACTCAAATCCACGCCAGAAATCCAATTTTACTCGGACTTTGAAATTTCTTTCACCATTACGCTCCCAGATAGTTGCTTTCTTCAATTCCATATCAAACTCAATTTTGCTGATGATTATTTCGCAGGCGTAATTTGAGTTGTTGATTACTACAACAATCCTCATTCAGAATTTCAAATTTTAAAAATACTAAAAATTTCGAAAAAAATGGGTTTGATATTGGATTGAAGAAAGCAACTATCTGGGAGGGTAATGATGAAAGAAATTTCAAAATCCGAGTAAAATTGGATTTTTGACGTGGATTTGAGTGAGTGAAAACTGGAGTGGAAGCGTTTTTTGGGCATTTTTGAGTGGGTGTGGCGGGCGCAAATGTGGCCATGGAGTCAAACCACTTCAGGGTTTTAGTACACTCATGAGACCCTATCACATATCCAAAGGGTATCAAGATCTGTTATTATCAACCTCGCAAGCTCCCCTCCTGAGTGCATATAATCGCTTCCCGAATTGTTTTTTACTTGGAGTTATTCCCTCGAAGATTACTTGCAATTTACTTGATTTAGTTTGTATTACAAATTGGGTAGAAACCACATTCTGTACTACAGAAACGATCAGTTATGTATGGCTAAGCAAGCTTGTTCTCATAGCAGGACACCCTTTGTATAAATTCGATCATTCGATGATGAAGTTATTTCGCAATGGTCTGAAGTTCAGATTCCCAATGTTCTAAATACAACTGTAAATGCAAGATATGTATGGACTTGAACTCTGACATTGCAGAGTTGCACAAGTACAGAATATTTATTAATGCAGCATGCATGTAGTCACAAAGTTAAGTTTTGGGCATGTGATGTTATATACCTAATTTATCTAGGTACATCATAATGTTGGATTTGAGGGAGAAGATATGTAGGGAAATGGTATTTAGTGGAGGACAAGATTGGCAAACTCGCAAAAATATATTTTTTTAATTACGTCTCTAATTCTGCTCAATTAGTGCAACATTATTATTTTGTCTCCTTATTCTGCCCCATTTGTGCAAATTGCGTCAAAATAAATGGGTGGGTGCGTTTGCATTTATTTAGTCCAGTCCGTAAGACGTATCACAGAATATTAATCACAACCAATTTAGTTATTGTTGAAGTTTTATTCACAACGATTATCACAATAATAATAGTTGGTAAGTGCGTATATGTGTAGTATAGACAGACTACCGACAAAGGATGTGCCCATTCAAAGCGAACCGATCACTCGCTCGCATTTAATCTAATCATTTGCCAATTAATGGAAATCTTATCAGATGCCGACCGTGCATAAATAATTAAATAAATTCTTTGGGAATTTCAACTCCTATCCTGCTGGGTCGCTTACCCGATGGATAAATGATTTTTATTTTATGTTATCAGAGTTGGTGCAGATTTTGCATGATTTTACAAGTTTTCAATGTATCATTCTTCTATAAGCAGATTGTAAATTAATTCAAATTTAATTAAGGTAATAAATACTACTTACTTTGCAGCAGTTTAAGTAGGCATTTCAAGTTTGTTAATCGTTTATGTTAAAATATGCATGTTAACAAAGTTTTCTGTATTTATCAATTTTTAAGTTTGTCGACTTTTATGAGGGCTGAGCATTTTCCAACCTTTTTCCCAGGACAAGGGATTAAAAGGGTCCTTTTGTTTTTATGCCTCATTAGAAGGGACACTTCGTTTGAGCATAACTCTGCGTAGTTTGTATGGTCACTTCTGACCACATATTATTACATATGTATGAATGTCTCCTATGTACTGTCAAAACCTTAAAACCAAGTTGTTTAATAAAAATCACCATCAGTCTAAAAATATCTTCCAGCGAGATCATTTTTACTTTCAGTTTACAATAAAAAAAAATTTGTCATGCTAAAAAGTAATCATCAACACGAGAAATGTGAATTATATTTAAAATTTATTAGTTAGCTCATTAAGTGATAAAAAAATATAATCCGATCAAATTAATCCCTAATCCGTAATTTAGTGAATACAAATTTGAAAGTAATCCCGAATGTTATCCTTAGTTTACAATTTGAATCCAATTTGAATGTAACCCGAAATCTCATAATCCCCTAAAATTAAATAATTGTAATCAGTAATCCATTCAAAAACTTGGAATTACCCAACTCTGTACATATGTTTGTGCCTAATGGATATTCGGTATGTACATATCGGGTGAGTCATATTGAGCAAAAGGCTACATATGTATTACGCCAAGCATAGGCTTATGAACCCGTGCTGTCCGTCTGTCCGTTTTGCAATAACACTTGGGCCAAGATAAGCTATTCAGTTCAAAGTAAATTCAATTGGAGGTGCAAGTGCAAATTGAGAATATGGAGTCTAATTATTATATTACTCAATATTCTGCATACCTGTTCACTTTCATTCATGTGACTGATTATGATAGTGAATGAGCGAAAGATTCAGTCATTTCAGATGAGTGACTGCGAATGAAGGTTCCTCACTCCTTTCATTTTTCAATCTATGCTTAATACATGGGGCGAAGTAAGAAATGAAGTCAGATGACTGAAAAAGTTTTTTTCAACAAGTATGATACTAATACGAAATGACTCGGGCAATATGACGGCCGGACTGCAGGTCTTTTATCAGTAATTTTTCTGATTATCAAACAAATGTGATGAATGATTTAGTAGATTATTAACAATGAATCCTTAACATAACATGACAACAGAAAATAAATTCCAGTCATTTATACTTGTTCTGGACACGTAGTCCATCACGTCCAAATTTGACCACACTTTCTGCCACGCCATCACATTTCCCTGCCACGATAAAGTAAATATGGGATCAAAGAGGGTCGTCCACAATTTTACTTCCTACCTGGGACACGGTTCTTTTGGCATAGTACTCAAATCCATTAACGAAGACCAGTTTTTCTCCGCCACCAAAATAATTTTCCCGTCACCAGCAAAGCAACAAGTCTTCCGCGAGACTTCCCTCATGAAAGGAAAATCTCACCCGAACGTCGTCCAAATTGAGGAGGCGCAACTGCAAAACTTCTCCCTAGCAGAGCTAGATAATATTTTAAAACCTGTCCCAGAAAATATCCAAGACCTTCCATTCATCCTCACGGTGGTCAACAAAGCAAGAAAACGGAACACATTTATTGCCACGATCTGTGTCAAGATGGAATTATGCGGCCAAACTTTGCGAGAATGGCTTAATCTTCACTCATCCCAGGAATTGACGCCGGAAATGCAAAATTTCCAGATGAAAATCATATCCCAAATAATGGCTGGGATTGGATTTATGCACGATAATAAGATCATCCATCGCGACTTGAAACCAGAAAATATTATGTTTAGCTCGACGACGGAGGAATTTTCGTTCTTTTTGCCCGTAAAAGTTGGAGACTTCGGGTTATGCAGAGTTCTTCATAATGAGGAAAGCAGGACAGACACACCCACCAGTAAAGTCGGCACTTTCATCTACCGTGCTCCTGAAATGGAATCCCACATGTACGACCACCGAAGCGATATCTACACCTTGGGGCTTATCATTTGCGAAATATTACACCTTAAACCAATTGGGAAGGAGAGAAGCAACTTTATCTATAACATTAAACAAGGCAATTTCAATCAAGTCTTGGAACATCCGTTGATTAAAGATACGGGCGAATTCATTAGTGTCGCCACCCGGAGGGAAGTGGATCATCGAATTGGGAGTGTGCACGACTTGGAGAAGATATTCCTCGACAAATTACGCGATAGTGGATTGGAGCCATCGGTTTCGTACTTTGATGTCAGAGCAATGTATTTGCGTGATATCTGGATCCGTAATTTTTTCAAACGCGACCATGAGACACAAAGCACAGATGCGCGAAACCTCTTCAAATCTGTGGAAAGTATTGCTTCAAACGTTCAAAATAGGATTCCACATGCCGCCATTGCCTTTAATTGGGGTGACGTTACTGTATATATCCTGGATGAAAATGATTCCATAATCCCAATCTATGGACCAAATCGAAACACCATTTGCTTTCCGAATGGAGAAAGTTTGATAAATATAGGCGGCCAAGGGAGCATAAGTGAAGGGAATCATGACGTTGAGCCGCTTGCCCAATATTTTCTTGGACCTGGCGGTGTCGCTAATGATCTCCTCGATGTCAACCCAGAAACATTGCTTGCCCTCATATTTGCCACCTTAGACACGATTTGTAAACATAAAATGGGCACAGACGCTGAAATTCAGTACAGTATAATTTTCCAAAATTTTCGTTGCTCTCATTTCCACAAGGTTTTAAAAAACGCTGTTAGAATTTCAAACATTCGAGCCAATCTATACGACCAAACTATTGGATTTCTTTGTCCAAAATTTAAATTCCAAATACCCAGTAAAACTAGAGTATTGATAAGTTCTGAATATACATGTATGTTGTACAATACCAATATGTCGAATTCTGTAGAATTTGTGGAACATGAAGGAAAGTTCATTTGCGCTCAGATCTCAATGGGCTATGGAAGCGGAGAGAGTAGTTCTCCTACTCCACTTAGAAGTCTCGAATTCAACACTAGTTTGGATCATAAAAATAAGTTAACAATTTTCTTGTTGTGTCCTGAGCATCTTAGGAGAAGGAGAGAATCATTTTTGAAGGACTATTATTTCGAAATTTCTGATAATACGGAGATTCAGTATTGCACCTTAAATGACGCCTTAGCTACCGTCTTGTTACATGGAATCACTCACAACTCAATTAGAGCAGAGTTTCGAAATATATTTGAAATTTCGCCTCTCAATATTAACGGTGAGGAACTAGTTTGCTCGAAACATCAGCATTCCGAGTGGAAGTTGTTAGACGAGAATGACATTGTTGAGGAGATCCAATATTTGAGAGTAGCGTTACACGGTACACAAATATGTATAGATGGAGAGTCTAGTGAGAAAAGGATTCCTGTTAAATTTAGTTAATTCAAATATGCATTAAGGTATTCATAGATATTTCTTGCTCTGTTTTTACATTAAATTGTTGATAAAATTCATGTTAGGTTTTCAAGATTTATGAGAAAATAAAACAAATTTCTTGAATTTGTTATTACACTTATTGACATAACAAACAATTGCATGGATATTTCAATAAAAAATAGTACGACTTTCTAAAAAAATGTGTGGCCTGCTTAATTTACCCGGGAAATCTTATAACAGTTCTTCTGCGGGTACTGGGTAAATATTGCTAGAATCATTTACTTACTTCATCATTTACGGGTCTTAACTCCCCAACCACCATGCTAGGTGGGTTCCCTAATTCTCCCAAGATTTCGGCACGCCGGCGATAATTATTTTGCCGAATTTCACGCATCCTATAATGGACAATCAACACGGCCGTAACAATGTACAGGATTCCCGCAATTATTGCCAGCACCTATTAATTATAGTCATAAAAACATGCGATATTACAAATTATCCGTCTGCAGTTGTATCTAAAAAATGTAACTTGCAGTTGTCATACCCCTGCCGCCAATTTGTTTGAATATTTGAAGTCTTCCCTGGTCACTTGATGTGTCTCAGAATGGATCAGGTTAGCCGAAACAATCATCAGTACTCCAGATATGATGAGAAGTATTCCAGCAGTGACGTGACAGCCGGTGTCCTATTTAATGGATGTCGTTGTACTAATTCTAAAATGACCTAAGTGCAGTCAATCCTTAATTTTAAAAAGCCCTAAGTGCAGTCTATGTTGGCTAGGTCTAGCCTAATCTTAGTAAAATATTCGTGCTGACCATATAAATAATTAACTATTTAAAATTTATATATTGCAGTTAGGCCTTTTCCTTATTTTTATTGTTCACTTAGACTGTTTTTTAAAATCAACTATTACCTGCACTTAGGCCTTTTTAAAATTAAAGGACGGCTGCACTTAGTCCTTTTACCATTAAGCATTGATATACACTGATAAACATTGATTGCAAATATGCATAATTATTTAAGAACCAGAGATATGAATTACGGAATGAAATAAATACTTCGTTTCAAATTAATTCTAGTAGCTCACCACTCTAGTTAAATACTTCCACTCCGATAAATGTCGCCCCAGAATGCAGGAAAGTAGAGACGAAATCCAAACTATTATTGGTTAAGGTTACGAACGTTTTCTCCATCCCGTTCGCAGGACCTGGACAATTTCCAGAATTGCGTCCACAGTAATCTGCGGTATTGAAATGTGCTTCACAACCAATAACCATCGCAATAAAGAGGATTGTCTACATATAATACGTGAAAAGTATTCGAAACTGTAATAGTGTTTATTTTACACTGACAAATTTCTTACCAGACAGATAACTTTTGCCACCATGGGAACAATTTTAATAATGTCAATCATAGCGTAATATTTTGATAAAATTAGAAAAGTACAATCTTGTGCTTCATCTAAGGGAAAAATTAAGTATGGCACAATTGAAATAAGTTTCCAGTCATATAATTTGTGCGGTGTTTATCAGTGCACCGATGGCTTCAATGCATTCCTTTAATGGCGTTGGATATAATCTGGAAAACTTATATATATACAGACTTATTTACGTAATGGTTTGTTTTCCCGAGTAAGTAATAAATCCTAAACCCTTTATGTATACGTTAGCAGGTTATTACTAAAAATTATAAAGCTTATCTGCCTACAGCAATAAATATTTGAGCGTTAATCACACAGTTTTGCCTAATCTTATTTATAGCTTATCCCGGTTTATTATATAATCATTCGTTTTACAAGGGAATGATTTGCAAGTCGAATGTCTGCACATGCATTCTAAAAAAATATGGGTTCTGCAGATCCATACGTATTCGCTTTGTGTTTGAAGCGCAATTAATTTATTTCCTTTCCGGCACGTAGTAAGGAGCTAGACACGATCCGAACTCGTACCGAAATCCAAGAGTATGTATTATGTATGGTGGTGGTGAGTTTAATATTTCAATAAACCAATAAATACTAAGCATTGAAAATTTCAAATTTATGTTTAACAATGCGAAGCTATTTCTATTTCTTGTAAAACATGGAAATCATTATGTAAATTGTAGCTTATCCTTATCGGGTAATATAAACAAAGCCGATTTTGTGTCGTTTCCACCACAATCCTAACCCGAAAACGGTATGAGGCTTAAAATCCATTCAAAACCAAAAATTCAACATGAAAAAAATTATGTATATGAATAACTTTATAAACGTATGTATGAAATATCTTAATTTCTTTAGTACAAATTCTTTATTACTAGTTTGCATGCATATTTCCCCGTTTGTGAGGTTTGCAATTAAGTGATTAGTGATTTTTAATAAACCAAATAACGGAAGTAGTACTAATTTGTGTATGATGAAAACGAATTTTTAAAAAGTGTAATCATCAATACGAAATAATTTTAAGTATTATTTTGGAATATTGTGAATTGATTTCTGGCCCAAGTTTTGTAATTCAAATTACTTTAGAGATTTTCACGACCGGAAATAAATACGTACCAAGTTTGTAATGATAAACAAACCATTTTTAACACTTAAACTAATATTTTAAAAAATATTTTATAACCGTCAACCGTTAAATGAGAAATTGAGTTGAAAGTGAAAAAACGAAATTTACCTAGGCTGGTAATTTTTGAGGGGAAATTTAGAACATGAAAACTGTAAGAAAGTCTAATTTCTGGTACTAAAATTTACTTGCGAATGAACTTGTAATATTTTGGCTCTGAGTAGCAAGGCCTCCAAAAGTCACTCTGTACCCTTGAATGATTTCACTTAGGCGTGAATGGATCTAAGAAAATAATTAAGCTTATTTATTGTTGTGTCAACGGAAATAGCGAATACAAATTTATGTATACCCATGATCCTTAAGAAGACTGAACTTGATAAACGCCTCCCCACAAATATCGCAAGAGAACGGCCTCTCTCCAGTGTGCGTCCTCTCATGAATGGTGAAATTAGCACAATTCTGAAACACCTTTCCGCAATATTTGCATGCATAATTCTTTATTGATTTGGAGCTCTTCACAGATTTCGGTTTTGAGTCATTTTCATCCTGATTTCGTAAATTGTTGCCCGCGTCTGAGAAAAGAATATAAGGAAATGAATAAATAAACATGAGTAAACTAGTTTTCTATCGTTTTATAGTATTAACATAAAAATTATTCCGAACATGTAAATACAAATTTAAACCTTTGCGTTTAATAGATTTCAAACAAAATTATTTTAAGAATATGAAAACCATTGAAAAATACATTAATTATTACTAACAATGGAGGTCTCCCAACGTATGCTCACAGACTTGAACCAAACTAGCGTCAATTGATCACAAAAATAATTAGTATGAAATTTGCTAATGGCACTATCTGCCAATGCTCAAGTTTAGCGGAGATATTTGCATAAAAAGAGGAGAAAACGCACCGCAAATGCTGCAAATTTTTCATTTTCCAAATTTACTGCGCATTTTTCCCCCTTTGGATGCAAATATCTCCGCCAAACCTGCGTATTGGCAGATAGTTCCATTTACAAATTTCATACTAATCATATTTGTGCTCGATTGACGCTAGTTTGCTCCAAATCTGTGAGCATGCGTTGGAAGACCTCCATTGTAAGCTGTATTACCCTTCTTCAATTCAATTTTGAGGTAGAGTTGATATACGCCAGTCGTCAGGCTCACAAAAATGAGAAAGATCAATGTCAAAAGATAAGCGCAGAAACGGACACAGTTGTAAATTACTCTCTCGCCCGGGGTCAGTGTCACTTCGCCTGGCCCCGTCATAAAATATACGACAAAAAGTGCGAAGAACGTGTAGACAAAGAACATTCCGGTGATGACGAACCCATATAAAAATTTCTTCGAATCCCTGTTGACGTTATGATTTGCCATTTTCTATTTATTGATGCTCTGGTAGAATAAATATGTAACGATAAAATTTCCGAAATTTGTTTCTAGGACGAAAAGGAGGAATGATGAATGTGAGAGTTCAAAATAGAAAGTGGGCAGTTGATCGAGTTCCTTTGTGTTAAGTTGGGCCAAGGGCGATCGAAAAAGGTTGAGTTGTCAAGGTAGGCTTTCCATTGTGTGATTAATACATATTTCGTGAAATACTTGTATTTTTCTGGACTATTTCATACCCTGTTTTTCACAGAGTGAAAAATGTTCCTTGTTTATAGTATTCAAACATATATATGTATGTACATTATTGGGATGTTGTACATACATACAGTGTACCCTAAAATAAGGGCCAAAGGGTGGAAATATGTAGCAATGCATTTAATGTATACATTCATGTATACAACTATGTATACGTAGTTGTGACCATATGAAGGAAGTATGCAATTGGTTATATTTAAGTCTAAACATTTACATATGCACTCTGAATAAAAATAACTAAAATTTACCCAAGGTTAAGTACAAAGGAGGATGGCACAACAATTGGGTAAAATTTACACAACAGTTGGATGAATTTTGCACAACCGTTCTGTAAATTTCACCCAATTATTGTGCCATCCTCCTTTGTACTTAATCTTGGGTAAATTTTCCGCAACTTTTATTTGGAGTGAGTGTGTGTTTGCTAAAGAATGAAGCCTTCATTTTATTTATACTTTAATAAATTGATTTTCATATCTATGTCATATTTAGTAAATATGACATAGATATGAAAATCAATTTATTAACTTAACTGTAATGTAAATATTATTTACATTACAGACTAAGTTAGTCTGACTAACTCCAGACTTAACGAAGAAGCCTGGACCGTCTGGAATTCCGATTTTTTATGCTCATTCGATTTCTACCACACATTCTAAAAAATCCTGTAATAAATTCTTAATACCGCGTATTAAATTAAAATTAGTTTTAATTTCCCAATCAAATTTTAAAATTAGGTAGTACAATATATTTGCATAAATATAACCATCGTAGAGACTACTACTTTCCTGCAAAAAGGTTGTTGTTCAAAGAACTTGTAAGATTTTGATAAACACTGAAGATGCAGTCCATAATTGTGGCCCTGTAAGAAAACAAACATGAGTTGGGTACTTATTTAGAGTAAGGGCCCATATATTACGTACACAAGACGGGGGAGGGGGCGGTTCGAATTCAAATGATATCGTGCATATCTTGCCTGCACTCTAAGAAATTTTATCACCAGCGCGGTGGTCATATGTGACTCTACCGGCAGGTGGCAGAAGACCACCGGAGGGTGGATGCCCATCACCAGCTTAGTGGTGATCAATCACCGTGCGGTGGTGCAGTTGTCACCGTTCCGGTAGAGTCACATATGACCACCGCGCGGTGATAGTTATCACCAGGTTTCTTAGAGTGTATGTTAAAAGGGGGGGGGCTGGAATCGAAAAATCGGGATTCTTTGATGACGTAATATATGAACGGGTCTTGACCTTTACAACGTGTACGTACTTGGAACTCGTCGCGTTCTGGAAACATTCCAAAAAAGCTGGATCTGATAGGATATTCCCATTTGTACAAAACTTTGCAAACCTCGAATATTCGGAATCCCCGCTGCAAAGCTTTTCTCTGGTTTCAGCGGGGCATCTGTCAACTGCCTCACTGCAAGGAAGCTCGTTTGTTATTGCTCTGACCCCATTGACCGGATGTTCGCAGCTGTTTATGAAATGTTGGCACTGATTTTCCTCCTGCTCTTTCTTTTCTTCGGGGGATAACTCTAGGACGCACCGACATTCTTTGGCATTGTTAAAGGTCGCAATGTATCCTGATATACACTCAAAACTAGAAAAGCCACAAGGCTTAGTTGCCTCATAGCCGTGTGTTTCTGAAAAATGAATGGAACGTGATTAAATTTATTTTCATTCTAGGGATATGGAATAAAATTTTCTGGAAAACTTGAGCAAAAAATTAGAATACTGGACACGACCCAACCATTTGGATTATTTTTGTATAAAGACAACCTGCTTATTTTGTGCAACTATTAACTGACAATCAGAAGGTGTGAGGAAGTTATCGTCGATATCGACTGGATTAATTTTAAATTGTTCACACTCAAAAATAAGTCGACACGTATTTTTCCTGAATGGGCATGTTTACGCCCGTGGAGGAATTTTCAAAAAAATTTCAGCCAAAATCCAGATTTTAAAAACCCTGTAACTTTTCGAATTTTAACCCGATTTCATAAGTTAACCCCTATTTTATCTCAGAATTACATATATCCATGAAATTATTTATAACAATTCATTTTCAAAAATTTTTAAAATTTGAGGTTTTAATGCCATTTCTGAATTTTAAAAATGCTAAAAACGATATTTTTTTAATTCAAAGTTTTATTCAAAATGAATTTTTATAATTTCATGCAAGTAATTCTGAGCAAAAATTGTGTTTAACTTTTGAATTCAGGTTAAAATTCGAAAAGTTACAGCATTTTTAAAAACCCTTATTCTGGCTGATTTTTTTTTCAAAATTCCGCCCCGGCCGTAAACCTGCCTATTCAAGAAAAATACGTGTCTACTTATTTTTGAGTTTGAACAATTTAAAATTAGTCCAATCGATATCGGGGATAACCACCTCACACCTGCTCATTGTTAGAAAATCTACTCAACGCAACTTAGTAATTTTTATGACTCAAGTGGGTTGAGGTATTTTGAGATAAAGTGGTTTCTAAACTTTCTACAAATTTAGGTAAAATGTTGCTCAAATTTGAATAAAAATTGACCATTTAAAAAAAATATACCTAACAGAAATTGGGAAAGTAGGGTTGCCAATATTAATAACCGGCAAGACTGGTAAACCATTTCGCTGCCTGTAGATAAATATTTTCGAAATTGAAACAATTTTATTTTTCTTTGAGATTTAACGAAAATTTTACAGCAGCTTATTCTAAGATTTTCACGGAGAATAGTAACATATTTGATAATGTGAAGGCGAAAGTCATTAAATAGCTAAGGATTTACATTGTATTCAAGTATTTAATTAAGCAGTAAAAAAATTAAGGACAATTGTGCTGTCTTCATGGATTAAAATGATGGACATTAATTAAGCAGATTTATTTAGTAAACTTGGTAAAATGAAAGAGTAACAATGAATGGGACTGGATAAATAAATAATTATTCTGATTAATTTTAGAAAATAATTTTCCACTATGGATCGCATAAATTTTTTATAGTTATTGGTAGTGTTTCGTTTTTGACTTTCAGAATAGGGTTTCAATTGGACAAAATTCAATATTCGCCAAACAGTAGAAAACGTCCAAGATAGTTTAGCGTGGAAAACCTGGTATCTAGTGGGTAATGTTTCTACATTTAACATTTTTCTTCTAATGTTTGAAGAAAAATCTTTGAGCATGAGTTCTTACGGGAAATTCTGAAATTGTGCAAACCACGCCAAAACTCCAAAATGTCCAAAAGTGGTTAAACTCGCTTTTAGACGACTTTTTGGACAGTTATAAAAACTGGAGCGAAACAATGATCTTTATTCTGTTTCTCACACCGTATTACTCAATTTAAATAAATTTGTGCAAAATTTAAGTAAAATAACAACTGAAATTGAAGTCCTTGGTAAAATTTATCCAACAAGTCACAATTAAAATGCGACATTGCGTATAAATATTTTTCTCAATAATGAGTAACATTAAAGTAATTATTGTTTTAGCCTAGATTTCACACAAATTGAAATAAATCTTACACAAATTTATTTATAACTGTTAAATATTTGAAGAATAATTTGAATACAAAACGATGAGTACAGAACACTGGCAGATTTTATGTTAATCATCTGCGTCATAAGCTTCAATTGTCAAGAATATCGTGGAAAGCATGTTATTCGCAGAGCGTGAGGATGCAGCAATTTCATGAAATTAATTAAAGTTAATGTCAATCAAACTGAAATCATTCGTATAGTTTATCCAATCCATCTATTAAACCATCTATTAAATTAAGAAATTTGATTACCTTACCCAGTGGCGCAACTATATTTTGGGGGCCCCTTGGCAAGTGACTAAAAAAGTTTTGTGTGTCTATGTGCCTTTTTGCATTTTAGCATTTAAGATAATTTTTTAACATTCCAAAATTGGATACAAAATATGCATATTTTGGCTACAGAAGCTGATTAAACGTTTTAAAATTATATTTCAAATTTTTTAACCTAAAATTTGGCAAAAATCTGCATACTTGTGTAGGTATATGATGACCGTTTGAGTTTTAACTTAAAATATACCCATATTAATTTAGAAACAAATATCATAAAACTTACAATGAAAAGTTTAAGACCAATTAAATTCGTCGATCAGGAGTTTCTGTAACTAATAAAACTTTGTTGGATTTGGGTGGGGGTGGGGTGGAATTATAAATGCCGTAAAAATGCAGTAGCGCAGTCATAACGTAATGTTGCAGTTGTCGTGTGAAAAATAATCGGTCTCATTCTTGTTGCATGACGTTGGTTAGGCTGGAGAGGAATGCGGTGACCTAGTTATTTGTTCACGTATGGGGTGACATCATGGCTCGATTATGTACAGAGTCCGGCTATGTATGTATTTTAAACTTTTTCAATAATAACCCGATCGGGTTGAAACTTTGAGATATTGTTCCTGATCAGGCATAGGTCACACGGTCAAAAAAATGTTTTCACATATTTTACATATTTCCAGGTTTTGGTACATATTTGGTACATATTTTGGTACATGTTTTAACATATTTCGACGATTTTGCCGAAAATGTGCATTTTTTGATGCACATAAATATGTTTTCACATATTTCGGCGATTTTTTCAAAAATATATATTATTTTTAATACACATAAATATGTTTTTACATATTTCAGCGATTTTTTCGAAAAAAATATATTCTTTTTAGAGAAACCTCAGAAATTCTCAATTCATAAAAAATTCCGATCATCGTAGAAATAATACCAGAGCATGTTGAAATGTTTTTAGTTTGTCACTTTTAAATGTAAAAGCATTTTTTGGCATTTCTGCAGTCAAATAAGCTTAATTTGGGGCAATTTAAAGCGAATTAAAAATATGTTTTATATACATATTTTGGCGATTTTATTGAACATTTTACATAAATATTTCGGGGGTTTTAAGAACATATTTACCCGGACTCTGATTATGTATCTTTGTGTTGGCAATATCTGTCTCCATATATGTATTAAGCATGTTCGCATTTTCTGCCAAATTTTGTATTATGTATATACCTGTAATAAATCAACCCTGGCTTTTCTGCTGATGGATACTGGTGAAGGATTAATCATAATCAGTACATAAACCTTATGATAATGATTGAACGTCCTTTTACCTTACCATGAACGTTTGTCCACATACGTATTCAGTCTCGCAACACGATCTTCTCGCTACGCATGCATATGCTAGGATGAAAGTCACGAGTGTTTTACAAAGAGAAAACTTGGCTGCCTTCGCATAGTGGAAATATATTTACAGCTTGGAAATCTTCACAAAGAAACAGTAATGGGCGGACAACCCCAACATTAAGAGTGTTGACTTTTGTTGACTGCTTTACTCTATTTGGAACCATCACGTGAAAGGTAATAAAGGGAATTTATTTATTAAAATAGATTTTGAAGTGATTTTAAATATAAATATAATACAACAAAAATAACTTGCAATTAAGGAATGCGGAAATATGTATAACTCTTGTAAATCAAAATATGTCCATTTTCAACGCGTCCAAATTTTGCAATCACTTAGAAATTTATTTCTTCCTGGGCTGAATTTATTTAAATAATGCTCAAATAATGTTAAAGTTGTTAGTGGTATGATATCCACCGGACAAATGTTAAATTGTTCACGCTCAAAGATCAGGGTTTCGATTGGTAAAAACCAAATTGACCAGGGCAGCGGGAAAAAGTGGGAAAAAGGCATTTTTACCACCCACCCAAAATGGGTGGGAAATGGGAAAAATGGAAGAAATGGGAAAAACTCTGGTTTTGGGCCATCCGAAACAACTTCTTTAAAACTTAAGATTTTCAAAATTTGACTTCATATTCGTATTCTCCACCAAATTCTGAGGAAATTAGTTGGTAATACGGTTCAATTCGAACAATCTCTAAAATTAACATGTATGCATATGGGAAAATTGGAAAAATAATTAAAACTGATCAAAAGTGCCCGTATTACATATCAAAATTTTCAGAAATTCGTGGAGATCACGAATATGAAGTCCAATTCCGAAAATATTGATTATTAAAGAAGTTAGCTTTCCCCATAACTAAATACATGGGCAGTCATATTTCCTATTTTGGACGGTAAAAACCATTTTTCCCGGTTTTTACCACTTTTTCCCACCTGCCGTGGTAAAAAATCGTTTTTGACGGGAAAAACGAAACCCTGTCAAAGATAAGGGGACCGTTATTTTTGCATTTTCCTGAATGGGTATGTTTACACCCGCGGCAGAATTTTTAAAGGAAATTCAGCATAAATTCGGATTTTTAAAAACGCTGTAACTTTTCGAACTTTAATCCGATTTCAAAAGTTAAGCCAAATTTTTGTTTAGAATTACATCCCTGAAATTACTATCAAAATTCATTTTCATACATTTTAAAAATTCGATGTTTTAATGCCATTTCTGAATTTTTAAAAATCCAAATGTTGGCTGAATGCTTTTTAAATTCCGCCAAGGGCAAAAACATGCCCATTCAGTTAAACTAAAAACACGAGTCCACTTATCTTTGAGCGTGAACAATTTAATATTAGTCTGGTCGATATCGGCGATAACCACCTCACAACATCGAATTGTTAGACATGCATGGATGAGAGTAAACTTTCGACGCGTACTTTGAGGACATTGTGAGAGAAATATTATTGGTTGGCAATTATGTTAGCTCAATTTGGGTAATACTAACATAACATTGATCTCATTTTCTCATTTCATTAATAGGGAACAGTTCGATTCAGTCATTCCTTTTGTAATTTGGGAAGCCGTGGACTACCAGGTTGTTTGGAAACCAGGTCAAGATGTAAGGTTTTCAATTACTTGAAACTAAATTGCTAACTCATCGCTTAATCAAATTTACATGATATTCCGAAGCTTAACATTCTTTTGTACGAAATATGTGCAAGTAAACTATACGCTGCCCTTTGTTGTAAAAATCTTTTCGTTACAAGCTTTGTAGCAGTATTTTAAGATGTGACGCATTGTAAAAAATCCATGATTTATATTTTATTTATTATAATCCACAGATAAAACTGGCTCCACACATTCCCTTTTGGACTTGTAAGACAAATAACTAAGTGCCATAGCTGCATACGAATCCAGAAAGGTAATTTCAGTTAGGGAACTAATCAGCAAAATAACTTTTTATAATGTCCAACACAACTTGTTACAGGTTATCGGGATCTTGTGTAATGTACTGTGGCCTGCTTTGCGCAAAAATGAATGGTTACCTGTGTCCAGAACAGTTTGCCAAACAACCTCCCAAGTTTTCTCCAACTTCCTTTTCAAAAAGTCATCACCACCTTTATGAGGGCGTCATCCCGGATGGTGATTTGAGCAAGATAGTCAGTGAAGCAATTACCTATTTCCAGCCAGGTAAAGTGAAGGAAGGATGTACGATTTTTTATCTAATCTCCCATGAATCAAGTGGTGAGAAAGAGGCCCATCATAAAATTTTCATCGCCCGTTCTGGCTCAGGACAAAAGCTTTTCAAACAAGTATCAATTCTAAACACTAACCTTGCTACCACAATATGCAGCAATGTTTAGAAAATACCACATTTACGATAAATTTTCTGGAATGGAAGTGTTTAAGAATATCAAATTCGACTTTTCCCGTCTTAAAAATTTAATTGTGTTTATTTCCATCGATCGGATCTTGAGGGGTATAAAATATCAAGGGATGGCTATAGAAAGTATGGTCAATCCAAGATTGCAAGATGAGTTCCTCAAAATTGAAGAAGTAATTAATTTTCTCGGAAAAACCCTGCAGAACTGGGAAGACAATGATATACATCATTTTAAGAGCTTATATGTTCTTCACGAAAAGAAACTGGTGGTATGGGGAGAGCTAAAAAGCATTGAAGAATCACATCCGGAAATATTTAAACTTTTCATTAATAAGATACCATCTGCCTGCGACTGCAACATCCCAACATCAGACAAATGCATCCAAGACCATAAATGCATCTACTGTGGGTCGGAAAACTTAGACACCCAAGCGAATACAAAATTCCAGACGTTTCGGAGCACCAAAGCTGATTTGATTGAGGCAGATAGGAAGAAAAAGATAAAGAATTTTTCACACCTTTGGAATTTTGTATTTGAATTAAATGAAAAAGACGTGCTCAACAATTTTGCCGGTTGTGCCGAAAGCAATTTACTCGAGTATTTGGCAACTCATCCTGACATTTTGGATGAATCGGGAAATCACATAATTTTTACTGTGATGAATTCATCAGTTAGTTCGACCAAGACGAAGGAGATTGAAATTTGTTCTCCTTGTTTATACTGCTGTTGGGTTTTTCCCCATTATTATGATTTAATTGGACAAAGTAGACTCATAAAATGGGGAACTTACAGGGAGCATTATAAGGAAGGAGCAAATGCGTATATACCGGAACACATTTTTTTACATTTGGTTAGTGAGGGGCGTTTAGTGGATTTTCAACGATATTACGAAACCTGGAGTGAAAGAGTGTATCAGTTTAGCAGAAAGCACTATCTATCCATCGGGAGCAAATACACTGTGCTACACCATGCTTGCTCTTATCACAGTCAGACCGGATTTGTCAAATTCATCCTGGACAAAGAACCGGATTTGCTTAATTCGAAAACATATTTTAACAGAACTTCCCTTCATTTCGCGGTAATGAATTGTCACCCCAGAATTGTCGAGTATCTACTAAACTGCCCGGGAATTGAAATAAACAGCAAAGATCACACTAACCTAACACCATTCAACCACTCTGTCATTTCGAGAAACGGGGAAATTATCAATCTATTCCTGCAAAAGGAAGGGGTTGATGTGTCTTATGACGCCGTTAATGATCACCCAAACTTTTTAATAGCTGCAAGTTCCTTTTCTACGCTTGAAGTTGTAAAGAAGGTTTATAAAATGATGGCCAAATTAGGAAAGGGATTTGACATTAATTATGTTTACCAGGAAGAGAATATTACAGCCTTATCTCAAGCCATTGATCGAAATGCTGTCGACATTTTTGATTTTCTTCTGGGTAAAGGAGCTAACGTTTACAAGCCGGTGGCAAAAGGGTGGAACCTGGAGGCAATATTTTTACGGCTGATCCATTTTAGACGATGGGACATGATGAGATCTTTCTTATATTTCCACATGGACGAACCAGATAAATTGAAAAAGCTTCAAAACATGAAGATGGGTGATAACGCTACTGCGTTGCATATGGTGGTAAAACGGGCCCAAAGTGTGAACCATGTTGAAATGCTTACCAAACTTGGGTTCAAAATGAACGAAGATAACGATGGCGTCACTCCGTTGCAAATCGCAACTGAAGGTTCTGACATTCAGAAACATTTGGAAAAGTATATTCTTCAGCGAGATGTTAAAGATGATACGGACTGTATTGAAAGAGCTCCAAAACTGTGGAGAGGATTGAGTGTAAATGACTTCGAAATTGATCCATTTATTTGGCTTTAAGATATGAATGTTGGTTTTAATGTTAATTGTTTTATTAATGTCTCTTAACAAAAAATTCGAATTTATTCGAATTAATTATTATTATCAATTGTAAATACCAATTACGTACTTATTATATATTTGTAATGCAATTTTTAGTGCTTTAAGGGCCACTGAGCCTGAAAAAGCGATAAACTCGTTATTATCATTATTATAAATATGTTCAGTAAAACTTGACTAGCGGACACCTGTAATACCTTATCCGCGTAAATGTTTTGGTAAACTCACACTGTAAATAATTTGGTAATAAACATTACCGAAAAGCACAAGTATATGACTCTGCCAAAGTAGTAATTATTAGTTGTAATGGCTTGGTAATAAAATTTTACCATTATGGTAATGAATTTTTTCTACGTGGTAAAATATTATTAAAAAAATGTATTACTGAGAAATCATTACCTGTGTGACTTTAACGGATTATTAAGAGTGTACCCATCCTGGAATTGGCAAGACCGTACAGTGTCAATAATTTTATGATGTAACTGTTACCGTCAATATATAGAACTGTCCCACTATGTAAATCCATACCATCACTAATCTAAATAAGCCGGTAAACGCATGTAACAAAGGGGTGAAACCCAAAACTTTATAAGAATCCGTCGAATGTCGAAAATCTGTTTAAATTAACATTTGCATGTCAGATGAATGTTAGCATTGAATGCGGGGTTAAATTTCATTACAAATTGACATATGTACCAAGTTTAACAGTTGATGCTTTGTCAGTGACCTATATGTGACCTTTCGTGACCTTTGAGATCAAAATGAATGTCACCAATTTTCAATTGAGAATGCATTTACTGTGCACAATGGTGAAATTATTTTTAAGAGTGCAAGCTCTCAAGGAATACTGAGCCTGTGTGTTCTTGTTGTGTAACGCGCAAAAATCCAGATTTCTTCTGCCCACCCAATTTCGACATTTACCTAGAACGTGGATCTTAGCGTTGTATAATTTGTGAACTACTTATGTATCTCTCCTACAAAAAACAGTTGATCCATGTACGACATTAATTTTGCTAAGTTCAATTAAGAGTTCAATCATTTATAAAATGGTTAATTTTTATAATAAATGCTTTCAGTATCAAGCAGACTGTTCTAACTTAACGTAGGATTAGGTGACTCATCGTCACAGGTCTAAAAATCTGAGCATATTTACGCATTTCTCCGTTCTGGGAATTTATTTTCAAATTCTATCAGATCCATTTGTAGACTAGATCAGTACCAATTTATTAAAAATATGTACTCTAGATTTTGACAAGTTTTGAAGGAGGAGACCCAAAAAGAGTGAACACCTTCAGAAAAATTGGGTCTCCTCCTTCAAAACTTGTCAAAATCTAGAGTGCATATTTTTAATAAATTGGTACTGGTCTAGTCTACAAATGGATCTGATAGAATTTGAAAATAAATTCCCAGAACGGAGAAATGCGTAAAAATGTTAAGATTTTTAGACCTGTGACGATGAGTCACCTAATCCTACGTTAAGCAATAATTTCATAAAATAAGAAAGAATTTTAGGAAATAAACCGTTGCAACGAATGTAACCAAGGGGTGAAAGGAGTGTTTCATACATTAAAATGAATATCATATTGTTTTTGCCCGTTCAAAATGTTTAAAACGGTCACTAAAAAGAAATTAAAAATAAATGTTGGTCACAAATAGGCATTTTGCGCCCTGTCCTTCCAATCAGCTTAAATATTTTCAACTTTTGTTAAAAGACAATCACAAAACAGGCCGGCAAAGTCGAATCAGTCAGACAAAGGAAATTAGTGGACGTGAGATTGGTTCCGGAGGCTCAGTTAAAAGGGCGATTCGATGTTTGCCATATTTAACCATCTCTATGGTTGTTTATTGTTTTGTAACAATTACACTGATCGTAAGTTGCTTTTTAAATTTTTTGGTATATTTTTGAATAGCAAGCAAACTACTGAAATTCCGAGGGCGCCTCAGAATTTGGCGCCCTGGGCAATTGCCCCGGTTGCCCTCCCCAATTTCGGACCCTGCAAACAATCTAACCTTTTTCAAGCTACACTAACAATGCGATGGTGTGAAGTGTAACCCTCCGATTTGGCTGAAATTTTAAAATTAGGTGGTCCAAGCCAATACAACTAACGTTTCTTCAGGCAGTTTGTGCGATGGTGAGAGTTACTCAAAATATTTGAGGTCAAAGTTCAAAAAACGGCCGACTTTTTTCAGGCGGAGTGAGAAAACTCCACTTCCATTCTCTTCCCCTCGCTTTGATTTTATTCAGGCGTCTCGCTCATGCATACGCCTTCATGCTCAAGCACAAGCTTTGATGCAAAATAATAAAAAATAAACATTATTAATTATAGCTTAAAGAGCAATTAATACGCATTATACATACTTAATTTAATTTATAATTAAATAAGTGAGATTTTTACTTATTTCTAGTACAAATTTACATAAAAGTTAATTTATAAATTCGCCAACGGCAAATAAACATGGAAAAACTTAACTTGCTTTCCATTTCGAAAGCGTTGGTAATTCTAATATCCAATTATATATTAATATTTTAAATGCTCCTGTGATTCGATATTGTTGGTACTCAAGCGGATCATGGGGTGATGATAGTGGTCTCAACGGTGCGGTTCGGTTCGGTTCTTGGAAGAACCGGTTTGGAACCGAGAACCAGAATTGAAGAACCGAAACAGAACCGAACTTTTTTTAGCTGGAACCGAACCGGAACCGGACCAAACCGTGACCGAACCGGCGGTTCGGGTCAAACCGGTAGTGTTATTAATATGCAATAAACAACAAACAATGCTAATTCACGTGTTTCTGATGAAATTTCACATACAAGCCAATAACTTATCTGTATTTAAACAAGTAAATTCTAACACATGTCAACAGCAAAACCACTTATGTATGTATTATTGAAGTTAGAAAACAATTCCAAGTTTGGGGTGCAACCAAGTCAAAATTCCATTTTGGAAACTTTGGGGTGTGACCAAGTAAAAATTTCATTTTGGAAACATTGGGGGTGTAACCAAGTCAAAATTCCATTTTTGAAACATTTGGGGTGTGACCAAGTAAAAATTTCATTTTGGAAACATTGGGGGTGTAACCAAGTCAAAATTTCATTTTTGAAACTTTGGGGTGTGACCAAGTAAAGATTTCATTTTGGAAACATGGGGGGTGTAACCAAGTCAAAATTTCATTTTGGAAAGTTTGGGGTGCAGTCACGTCAAAATTTCATTTCGGAAACTTTTGGGAGTAAAAATTTCGTTTAGGAAACTTTGGGGGTGAAAATTTCATTTTGGAAACTTTGGAGGTGTCATCAAGTCCAAATTTGGTTTTGCAAACATTGTGGATGTAACTGTAACCAGGTCAAAATTTCGTTTTGGGTAACTTGGGGGGTGTGGCCATGTCAAAATTTCATTTTGGGAACTTTGGAGGTACGGCCACGTCAAAATTTCATTTTGGAAACTAGGTGTATTTCGGGAAATTCGTAAAACTTTTTCGGAAATATGATCAACTTCGCTAATGTATTTATGTATGTAGTTCGGTTCAACCCGAACCGGCCGGTTCGGTTCGGTTCTCAAAGACTTAGAACCGGAACCGAACCGGTAATAAAAGTTTCGGTTCGGTTCGGTTCTCCGTATAAACCGGAACCGAACCGAGCCATCGGTTCCGGTTCGGTTCTATGAGAACCGAGAACCGTTGAGATCACTAGGTGATGACGAAAAGCCCGAGTTTAAAAATGTAAGCGAAGTTTGTTTTAGAGAAAAAAATATTAGTTGCGACCTGAATTGTGGCAATCCCACATTCATCAAATTCAGCTGGTGCAGTTTATCGTATTGTTTTGTGGACTTTTATGAAAATAATCATATAGTCACATGTGGAATGAATAATTAATATTTTTCTATAAAAAATTAAATTTAAAATTGTTGAAATGAATTATTTTTCGGAGTGAAAATCAAAGCGAGGGGAAGAGAATGGAAGTGGAGTTTTCTCACTCCGCCTGAAAAAAGTCGGCCGTTTTTTGAACTTTGACCTCAAATATTTTGAGTAACTCTCACCATCGCACAAACTGCCTGAAGAAACGTTAGTTGTATTGGCTTGGACCACCTAATTTTAAAATTTCAGCCAAATCGGAGGGTTACACTTCACACCATCGCATTGTAAGATTGCCTAGCGAGTTATGTATATCAAAACGTCCAGCCAAAAATCAGGAATTATGTGACACGTATCTTTCTGTTGAATCGCTACTTTGAAAAAAATATTAGCGGCAAAGTTCTAGTTTTAAGTAAATATTCTACATCTTTTTCCTCCACTGGACGAAAAACATTGTGGACATTGAACCACAATAGTGCCCCATCGATAGATTTCTTTAAAGGGGCTATTCAACGGAAAGGTAAGCGTCATACAATGTCTTATTTTTGGCCTGATGTTTTGATATAACTTGCCAGGAAATCCACGCGTAGCTTGACCATGGTTGCATTGTAAGTAAAAAAAAGTTTGGTTTGAGAAACAACTAATGACATCTAGCAAATCAGGGTTTTACCGTGGGAAAAATGGGTGGGTAAAATGGCTTTTACCAACCCACCCAAAAGCCTCGTAAGTGGGGAAAACACTTTTTGGTGCAAAATTATCAATTGTTTCACTCTAATCTTCAATGATAAATCAATTGATACATAATCACGAGTAGCACGAGAGCAGTACATAATTATAAAAATTAATTGTCTGATATAAAATATTTCCTTTGTGTATGTTGGACGTTGACGTTAGTCAAGAAACATTTCAAACTATTCGGTAATTTCTTAAATCAATAATAACGAAATGCTCATGTACTTAATAAACAGTAAAAACAATAAAATGGGGAAAATAAACTACCCCCAATGCATTGGTGGTGGTTGCCAACTATACCCATTTTCCCCACTACCCATCCATTTTTTCCATTTTACCCACTGGGCTGGGGATTAAGCTCAAAAGGTGGGCAAAGTAAAACTATGAGCAAAGTATGATATGCGGTACTTGCATAGCATTACCTCAAACTACTTATAAACAAAAATGAGCAAAGAATTGATTAAATCAAATTTATTCTGAAGGTTGGTTAGTTTGTAACTTAATTCTAACAACGGGAAACGGGTCCGGGTAGTTGTGCCTCAGGTGGCGGGTCGGGTAACGGGTGGCATTTACGCTACCCGCCACAACCCTAATCCCTAGTACATAAATTGGACTTGAATTCAATACTTTATTTCACCCAGAGCTACTTCCAAATCCCTACAGGATAATCGTTTAATTTGATCAGGGTGAACCATCATATTAATAAGTTTTACCCAAATTACGAATCTATCTTTCCCAACCACTTTCTCCAACTGCAGGAATCTTTTTTTAGAACTTTCCATCTTAC